ATTGACAGAATTTATTTCTTTTAAAAGAAGAATTTTACCTTTTTTTTGTTTTTTGTTTTTTTTTTTTTTTGTTTTTTTTTTTGTTTTGACTATGCCTAATTGTTGGATTAATCATTCTAAAAATGTCAATGTGTATTGATCAATAAAATTATTTCTATAGATTTACAATCGTAACATAGATATCTCCTGTTAATTAGTTAAATAATTCAGTTTGACTAATTCTGAAGTTCACACATCAAATACTTTCATATCAAGAAGAAACATAGCCTTAAAATGTTAATAAAAATAATAAACGGACTCCAATGTGAGAGCAATGGCAGTTACATGTGCATGTGATAATCTTATAGATATGGATGTCGCATTCCCAGAACCAGCTGGTTTGTTGTTTACAATAAATATACACTTAAAAAGGTTATACTTATATAGAAATTACCTTGTCAGCTTTTGATCACAATCATAATATTGTACCATTAATACATACGTAATTTTTTTTTAAAAGTACATGTAAATTTAATTAAAATATTGAACAAAATTTCTAAAGACTCAAAGTTAAAAGCCACAGCCATGAATACCATTAAATCATATTAGCTTAAGGTTTATTTCCAACCGGCGTCGCAATTTTTTGTGGTATAGATTAGATCTACAAAAATTTATTCAAGTATATGTCCCTCACATCCTATGACTAACACTGGATTAATGAAAATGTCAGCTATGGTACTTTTCTGTCCAATTATTATACCCCATGCAAAAAGTTACAGGGGTATAATATTTAAATATTTTTGACACATCTGTCATCAAATCTGTATTATTCTTGTTTGCTTAATACATAAGTATCAAACAATTTTCTTACAGTATACACAGAGAAATCAAAATGGTGTGGTATGGCGCTTCTATACATGATGAATATAACAAAAATTGTAACATATAATAAATCCCATATATACGGATATAACGATAGGTCATACGAAGAATGAACCACAACTTTTTTCATTTCTTAACTTAAAAGCTAAATGCAAAAAAATCCGAAATTACAAAGCTCGGAAAAGTTTTGGCCACTCAGTAATTGAAGTAGTTTGAATGCGGATGATTTTTCCAGTAATAACATTTAAGGATATCCGATCCTCAGCCAGGAAGGATAACTCTTAAATTTATTATTTTATTTATAACTCTTAAATTTATTATTTTATTTAAAAGTCTCAAAATGAAGCTTGAAATTGATATTTTTTCGTGCAACAAATTTCATTTTATGCATCTCAATATGATTCAAGGTTCTTTGAAGGCTTAGAAACGGTCTTGTAAAACGTTGACGTTTATACCACATAAAAGAAAAAAATAAACTTATTTTTAGAGAAATCGAATTTCCTTTAATCTAGCATTAGATATCAATGCTTATTAACATGACATGAATTAAACCTGATATGTGATATCTAGCTATATTATATGATTAACTTTAATGATGAACTTTGAAGAAATACCATTCTGATTGGTAAATTCACGTTACCCTGTGAAATCAGGGACATTTTTGTGAGCATTTTCAATTATTTTAAAGCTGATTTTCAGACCCTAAAGATCGGACTACCTTAATATATTTACTTTACAATAATTTGTATAGGGGACAAATCAAAACGAAATGAAATTCATCTTCTATGTTGGTTTTACAAAATTCACAAAATCTTCTTCCTTTACAATATTTCTATGACGCTCAGTTTCCATTACAAGGTTACCATGTATGTGAAGATATTTTTATTCTCCTTTTTTTTATAAAGAGAAAATATTGACTTTCTTAAATAATATTGCAAGGTTAAATAATCTACAATATGCCTGTAAAAAATACATTTTGTTGAACAATTAATTAAAGCCATGAGGTTTTGTATGAAATTATCTGTTATTCTTTGTTTGATACTGTCTAGTAATTAGAAATTGTTTATTAGTCATTTGTTTGTCCTGTTCAAAAAAGATAAGTCTAAGTCCATTTTCAAAAAGTTTTTCTTTGATTTTTACAACACAGTTGTCGGAGTGAGTGCTGGAATATACACATTTTCAGGGTACAATTGTCGGTTTTTGTTTTTGATCTGTTTTTATACACCCGCTGTTTTACCCGCCATATTTAAATAAACACTGTACAACACGACATGTTTTATTTTGATTTCTAGAGTTCCACTAGTAAGTAAGCGCATATTGAACACGGGTTGTCTTAATCGAATGCACTCCTAAACACAGCACATTTTTTTTTTAAAATAAGTATCTGGGATTCAAAATTCTCTCTTTATATGAATACTTTCAGCAATGTTTCTTGTGAATAAATGAAACTTGCACAATAAATCACTTTGATCTACATATCTTATAGAGAATCTTAGCCTAAAATTGACTAGAAATAAATATATCACAATAAGTTCTAATTCAAGTTGAGGTTTTCCCCATATACAAGAATCATTTAATAAATTAATAAATTAATAATAAATCATTAAATGAAATCATTCAGACATTGACTGAATTGATGATTGCTGTGAAAAATCCTATTATCACCGGGAAAAAATTCTACTTCTTAAAATAAATGAGGAAAGAATTGCTCAAGATACTAATAAAATTTCCATAAACTTTGGATAATACAATTGTAATAACTTGAGAATGAAATGAATATTAATTGCATGTTAGAACATAAAAATAATCTCTCCCTATTTTGTGAAGTAGTGTTATCATCTTAAACATGAAGAGGATTCATTGCACAAAAATAAAATCATCTCGTGTGATACAGAGAATTCTTTATCTATTCTACTTTAGTGATAGAAAAATAAAAGAGTTTTTGTCAAAATATCACAAAAATATGGCCAAATGAACATTCACGAAAAAGGCATAAAATTTCATTTAAGCAGTCAGCTGGTTGAAATCTTGAGGTCTCTTTAATTTTGAAAATCATCAACAAAGATTTATTAAATGTGGTTTTCCCAAAAGGATTTCAATTAATTCAATTTTAAAAAAAATGCAATATATAATAAATTAATGTAAAATCATACACAGACTAATAAACTGAATTAGCACGTTAACACAAATTTTAAACATATCAACACAGAATGCATTTAATACAAACCTAAATGTACACGTAGATGTGCAAGCTACGTACGTGGGGCATAACATTAAAATATTTTCATTCTGAGGTAAATGCAACATCTTGCGTCAAAGTAAGTAAAATCGTGAATAACAGTGAATTTCATGTAATCGTTCTGCCCTGTCCGTCCGTCTGTCTGTCTGTTTGTCCGCAAAAACTTTAACATTGCCCATAACTTTTTATTGGTTGTAGCTATGGCTTTCATATTTCACATGTGTACTCCTTGTGACAAGACCTTTCTTTCGGTACCATCATATTTGACCTTTTAATCTTGACCTTGGAGTTTGACCCAGATTTGCAAAATTTTACAGAACTTTAATCTTGGCTTTAACTTTTGAACGGTTGGTGCAAGGGCTTTCATATTTCACATGTGTATTTCTTGTGAGAAGGCCTTTCCTTAGGCACCATTAATTTTGACTATATACTTTCATATTTCACAGGTATATTCCTCGAGACATGACCTTACTTTGGGTATCAACATATTTGATTTGCATTTGAGAAAGTTTAACCTTAAGTTTGATATGAGTTGCCATATGGGGGCATCAGTGTTTCACAAACACATCTTGTTTCTATATATTCCCATATAAATTTTGATCTCCTACTGTGGGGCCACCATACCCCAAGGGGTCATGATGAGAACAAATTTGAATCTATACTACGTGAGTATACTTGCATAATTATCATGACTAATTATCATGGTTTTGCTGCTCTTCTTCAGATTTTTATGTCTCACCATGAATATGGTCAGGGCATAAAGCGTTTATCATGTCCACCTTCTATCCTTTGACCTTGTCCCCACTTTTCTTAAATTTTTGTTAAGCTCAGTTTCAAAGAAATTAATCCAGATATATTTATTAAACTTCATATGCTGATAGATTTTGGTGATTGCTATTGAGCTGCAACAAAATATTTTGATCTTGACCTTCCTTTTGGCCTTGACCTTGCTTTATCTAAATTTGCATTCAGCTCAATTTCAAAGAAACTATTCAAGATCTGTACATGTATATCTACATGTAAACACATATACTGGTACATTTTGGTGAGAACTATCCAACTGTGTCCAAAATGTATGACCTTGACCTTACTTTTCTTAATTTTGCCTTTAGCTCAGTTTCAATTAAACTATTCAAGATATTTTATGTAAGCATATGCACTGATACTATTTGCTGAGAATTTATCAACTGTGTTCATTTTTTTCTTTTTCATCAAACTTCATAAAATAATATCAACTTTCATGTTGCATTACTAATGAACCCTTGGTGGGGCATTCATGTCCTATGGGCATATTTCTAGTTAAAGATGTTTCCTATACATGTATGTGTTACCATGTTAAACTTTGATCCCCCATTGTGCCTCCCAATCTACCTTTACAGGTCATGATTAGAACAAACTTGAATCTACACTTTGTCAGTAAGCTTTCACATAAATTTCATCTTTTCTGGCCCAGTGATTCTTAAGATTTTTGAAAGATGTCACCAAATTTTCACTTATTCTTAATTGTCTCCCCTTGAAAGAAGGTGTGGCTCTTCATTTCAACTAACTTGAATCTCCTTCACCCAAGGATGCTTTGTGGCAAGTTTGGTTGAAAATGGTCTCATGGTTCTGGTGAAGAAGTCAACAATGTTAAAAGTCTACAGATGGATGGGGGAGCTGGATGCCGAACAAAATGTGATCAGAAAAGCTCACTTGAGCTCTCAGCTCAGGTGAGCTAAAAAAGCCATTTTGCTTATTTTCTTTCTATGCACAAAATCTAAATTCTTTATCAAAATTTATGCAATATACAGACCATACCATCAATGTTTTCCTTTGCCTCATATTTTTTTAACAAACCAAAATGTTTTACTGTTGTGGTATTTGTAAAATGATTTCAATCCAAAACAATTCCTTTGTCGAGAGTTATAACAATTTATTATCCTTGTTAATAATTTACATCAATATAAATATATGACTTTACATTATAAAATGGTATAACACTGAACACTCTCTTCTATATCGATCATTCATTCATAAACAGTTATCATACATGTATTAATGGTTAACAATTACACCCCGATATACTATGATAATGATAATAGTAAAAAACTCCATTAAAAACAAAGTAAAGAAATCAAATTTCAAATGATTAGAAGGAAGTACACTACAAATTCAATATAGCATGTACATCTGGCCAAGAATATAGCACCATGCATTTAATTTAAATCAATTCAATTTTTTAATGACATTCAAAAGTGCAGCAATTCACTATTTGTCGATGAATTCTTTGATACCATGATACACAAAATAATATAACTCTTAGAGGAAGATAACTATTAAATCTATACAATAAGGCAACTATCATATAAAATAAAATGCTTTTTGGGATGCAATTCCACACAGTAATTTCATAATCACAGCACAATTTTAATGGTAAGTATCTGGGATTCTAAATACTCTTTAATATGTATACTTTCAGCAATACTTCTTGTGAATAAATGAAACTTGTACAATAAATCACCTTAATCATGTTAATCTGCAAACATAGCCTAAGATTGACTAGAAATAAATATATCACAAAAAGTTCCAATTCAAGTTGAGGGTTTTTTTTTTCATAGACAAGAATTATTAATTAAATGAAATAATTCCTACATTGATTGAACTCATGATTGGTTTGAAATATGCTTTTATCACCAGGAAAAAAATCTACTTTATATAAAATAAATGAGGAAAGAATTGCCTCATTCAAGATACTAATAAAATGTTCATAAACTTTGGACATTAATAACTTAAGAATGAACTGAATATTAATTGCTTGTTAGAACATAAAAATAATCTCTCTCTATTTTGTGAAGTAGTGTTGTCATCCTAACCACAAAGAGGTTTCATTGCACAAAAATAAAATCTTCTCGTTTGATAAAGAGTACACTTTATCTACACTACTTTAGTGATACAAAAATAAAAAAAATGTTTTCAAAATATCACAGAAATATGGCGAAATGAACATCCATGAAAAAGGCATAAAATTTCATTTAAACAGTCAGCTGGTAGAAATCTTGCTCAGGTCTCTTTAATTTTGAAGATCCTCAACAAAGATTTATTAAATGTGGTTTCCCCAAAAGGATTTCAATTAATTCAACTTTGTACAAATTTTTAAAAAATATAATACATAATAAATTAATGTAATATCATACACAGGCTAATCAACTGAATTAGCACACTCAGTTAATACAAATTTTAAACACATCAACACAGAATGCATTTCCTACAAACTATATGTACACGTAGATGTACAAGCTATGTGGGGCATAACATCGAAATGTTTAAATTCTGAGGTAAAAATGGACCGTTTTCAGTCAAAAGTAAGTAAAATCATGAACATGATAGAGGATATCATGAAATTGTTCAAAGAAACAGGTTTGACTTTATCAATGATAGTTTTATACACTGTGAAGACAACATTCTACCTCTATTTTCATCAACTTTGTTCCAATCATTCCATTAAATAATTTTCTGACTTAAACCACCAGCAGTTTTTAATTCACCAAAATCTTGTGTTCAAGAAAATCAGAAAATTAATGGTAGTACATGCATACATAAAATTGTAGGAAAATAAGATTAATACTGTTACACAGAAAAAAATATTGATCTATACTTAACAGATAATTGCTGAAGATGGTCAAAAATCTCTGAATTCTACAATGGATTTCCCCATTGTATGCAATGTATTCATTTAAGAATGAATTAAAACACTTTATATATTAAAAATAATACATATTTTTGTTCCTGGATATACACTATACATGTATCATTCCTTCTGAGTTTTTGTTCATCAAATTTTGTATTGTGATACATACATAATTATACCTTCTAACAATCTATTTGTTAATCATTCTTCCATCCATAAAAATTAGCAAAGTTCTATGACAGTAAAATTTATCTACGACCTCCACTCTTTTGAGCTTAACACAGATCTTACAAAGAACCAAGCTGTCCCACCATTCATGAATATGACATACGAGGGTCATTCAAAATATACAAAGATAATACATGCATTTAACATCTGGCCATAGTGAAACACCAGGAAACAGAGAGACAAACAAATACACTTCCCTAGATCTTGTTTGTATAAAAAGGAGTATCTTATAAATATATTTACATATAGTGATGTATATTAACAAATTTTTAAAAATTCATGATCTTTTGATCTCCTGCTGTAATATTTGATCATCTCTGTTGAAAATATGTTCAGTGGAAGTCTTGAATAAGTAAATTTGCACTTTGTCCAAACTAATACCCATTCAAAGGTGTGTTTGGTGTATAAAAACAAGTTTTACAGCTTTTGGTGAGACCAGTCAATAAAAGAGCATACTGTAGAAATGCTAACACTTTCACCAGTACTGGAAATATATACGTAATGTACTTACATTAATATGATCTAAAACATGTACAATGAATCAAAACTCTTTTATATCTGTAATTTATGTACAGTCAAAGCTTTTATATCTGTAATTTATGTACAGTCAAACCTTGTTATCTCATACTCAATGGAACAAAGAAAAAAAATTCAAAATAGCCAGGTATAGGCCTACTGATGTTAAAATTCATAAAGAAAAAGTACATACAGTTGGGACTTCCAAATGACTGAGATATCCATGGTATTTGAGATACTAGTGTTCGAGATTACAAAGTTCAACTGTGTTATCTTTAGGTTAATGAAAATGTACAGGTCTTTAAATAATGCTGCAGAAAAAGTAATACACATATGTTTACATACATGTACATTTAATTCAAAAGGGCAGCTTAAGCTAAATCTGCAAAATTTTAAAACAATGATATGAAGCAATTTCATAAATCATGTTATTTTTCTGGAATTTGGAAGGTCTTCAAGCATTGAGCAATTACACCAAGCTTTGTAACTTAATTATCAGTCTATGTTGGTTTAGGTCCGAGATTGAGTACAACTTTTATAGCACCTGTGAAGTCCGCAGCGACGATAACCTGTCTCGGGGTCTCTTCTGTCTCTTTGCTGGGGTTGGATTCCAGTTTCTTTGAGCGGATAAACAGGGAGGGATTGGGGGCAAAAACTGCAGCAGTAACTGTAGCATTGTGAACTAAAAAAGAAAGATAGTTTAATTCATTACTCATGTCAATAGAAATGCAGCTGAAAAGCTCCTAAAACCCTTCAATTTGCACATGATTTAATACTGAAAATTAATAAATGTCCTTAAAAAACCATCTCACAACTACAGTCAAACCTTGTTATCTTGAACTTGATTGGACCAATAGATAACCAAGATAAGAGATAACAAGGTTTCAAAACATAAGAAAAAGTGGTTGGGACTACCAAATCACTTCAACATACATGTATACCTGGTATTTGAGATATGGTGTTCAAGATAATGAAGTTCAACTGTATATTAACTACTGCCCCCATGAAAGTCAAGTTTTGAAAATCTCTTGAAATGTGCAATTCAACCACTGGACTTATACAACGGTATGTGCAGTAATTACTGATCATCAATAAAATATAATTTCATATTAGATTTGCAATGCATACTTTATGTATACTTAAGTATGTACTTTTAAATTTACAACGCTCATTATAAATTTATGTGTCTCTGTAGTTGTCTTTTACACTGATGATACAATAGTACAATACCCTTAATGGCCTCCCAATAGTCATTGCGATCCCTCCTGGCCGATGAGAATTTATAGAACTCGTGCTGTGTCTTCCAGATGTACACAAAGTGGTCCTCAGAACCACATATCAGGTATTTAGACTTTGGACTGCATTACAAAATGATAAAAAGCTATTGAAGCTAAATGTTGAAAGATAGATCTAAATTCTTGAATCATGAAATACATGTATGTAATTATTTTATTATTAAACAATATCTTGTTCTCCTTTGACTTTTTTTTCGTTTAACCTTCCTTAAGACACAGATATAATAATGCATTATAATTATCATAATAGAAACTAGACTTTGACCCATGCGTGCACGGGTTGACATTGTTATGAATGCATCCATGTGCATATCGGACATTTACAAAATAGATAGATCGGCACATTCATATTGTTAGGTACTTTTGAAATAAACAATGAATGTGAATATAATTCTGTTTTGTTTGTTTGTTTGTTTTTGTTTTTTGCAAAATTGTTGCGTAACGGCGTAGCGCAGAATGGGTTTGACCCCCAGTTAGCTATAAATCAAGTCCTGAGTTCGAATCACGCCGGAGCTTACATAAATTTCACCTTTGCAAACAAATTTAATAAAAGAAATTGTGGATATTTATTGAAAATATGACAGCAACAAAGAGTTGAGCACTGCTGGTACATATCAAGCAAAGTAATGAAAATGAAGAAATGTGCTACGCTGGTATTTTTACACAATCAGTTATTAAACTAAAGCTGTAACAATTTTTGTAACAATTTTAACACTGCAGGTCTCAACTTGTTCAAAATAGGCCCTCGACAATAAAAGAGTTAAGCACTGCTAATACATATAGTTTATATATACACAGGTAATAGACATGTATATAATCTGTAAAAGCAGAAATGAAAATGGACAAATGTGCTATACTGGTATTTCTACACAATTTAGCAGATGTGAAGCAAAACAGATTATCTTGCAAATCCCCCCTCCCAAAAAACGTACTGTTTGTTCAAGAGATCGTAATAAAAATTAAGAATATCAAATGTACTTTATATATGATATAAGAAAATGCTCATATGACTGTCTGTTTTGATAAAAATTAATGTAATATCCTTGGATTAGTACATAGAAAAAGTAATAAAAATAAAAATAGTAACATATTTTCAGTTCAAAACTTCTTTGTAATCAATGTTTTCAGTTGTGTATTGTCCATTGGAAGATGATCTCTATGTTAAAAGAATTGTGACTGCCTGAAAGGAATGAACCTTTGACAAAGCTACATACAACTGACCATGAGAAAAAACCGGGTCTGAAAGATTTAGTCCTATATTCCCGGCCCGACCCGGGTTTTACTAACCATTTTAGTGACACTCTGAATGTAATGCGCACGCGCAAGATTGTAAAATCCAAAAAATCCAGATGATTTCCGGAATTTTTTAAGGAATTTTCGTTGATTATTAATTAGCGAAGCTTAATTGAGAAAAAATAAAAACAAATTGGTAATCTTCAAGTACCAATGATGTTTAAAATATATAAAACAAACGCCAGTACTCTTCCGATTTATCGGTATTAAAGGCCAAAAATTCGAGTCTATTATTTTAATATAGTAGTATAGATTGAAATATTTGCATTATTTTCTTTATTCGGTTGCCTTTTTTTTAACTTTTGAGAGATATTACCATTTTGCCAACATACCTAAAGCTGGCCTTGATCTGACTACTGTTATTAGTGCAACCCTTGTATTTACAGGTCAAGGTCAAATCTCTAAGGTCATATAATCTTATTCTGGAGTCATTAGAGGTCACCAATATCTGAAATAAATGAATAAATTCTAGGAATATTTGTAAATATAAACTTTTCTTCTAATTTTGATGAGTGCAAGAACTCTTAGCTAGTACTTCACAAGAGAACATGAAATCAGAGAAATTAACTCTCTCTCTCATTCTCTCTCTCTTTCTTACCTTATCTTCACCAGGTAATGGCTCCACACCTGTGATTTTGCTTCCTTTGGCATTTTTACCTCTAGTTGACCTTACATGAATCTGAGTGTAGTATTTTAATTGCTGGAAAGTAATTCGTAAATTGACTTTAATTAACAAAGCTGTGTAACAAACAGGGGATATTTACATGTATATTGAGAGATTATATATCTGCAGAAGTTTTTGAATTCTGGGTCAATACAGGGAAAAACTATATCTCTGACCAGAAGCAATGAATAAAGCATGACCAAATGCTTCATTTCATAAGATAACACAGTATGGAGTGTGTTTGTAATATAAATATAGACAAATATATCAGATTTTTGCCTATTCATTTATAAGACGTTCATTTACAATTCATTCATTTCAGCTTAACAGTTTACCTCTGTAGTGTAGAATATACATTTTCCATCATAAGTTCCGGCGACTGCAAACTTGCCGTTGTGACAGAAATTGGCTGTCGTGATGAGACTGGACACTTCGTTCCACATCGTAACTTTCTTCTCAGGGATATTCCAGAGTCGTAACTTACCATCTAATGAACCACTTAAAAAGTACCTATCGTCCTAAAAGAAGTAATGGAGGAACGGTAACATACATGTACAGGAATAATAAACATACATTACAAAATTAGGTGTCAGTTTTTCTTAGCAATACAGAAATAAACAACTGTAGAATTTCCTTTGAATTTCTACATATTTTAGTACGTGTAGAAATTTAAAAAAAAAGTTTCTTATTAGAAGTATCAGATAGTCCTGAGGTGCAATTAGCACAAAGTGAAACTGAACAATATCTAACAGTCATTGTACAATGTACATGTTACCTGTATATATGTATACATGCATAGTGTACAGTATATTTTATTTTTTTACACTTCCTTCAAAGTTGGTTTCTACAAAGTGTTTTATTAATCAATATAAAGAAATAATTTTAAGAAATATCTTTTTTTTTTAATCAATAACAGAGAAATACATGCATTTGACCTAGTTGTAAATGTTTACCTTTGGATGGAACACTATGGCAGTGACAAAGTCTATATGCTGGAATATACAAAGACACTCTCTCCGTGAAATGTGCCACAGTCGCACGGTTTTATCCATTGATGAGGATAAGATGAAGTAATTCTGAAAAGCATAATTAACCTCTGATTTTCAGTTTGTGTGCATTCCATTATTTTCAAATACTACGATGTTATTCTTTTAGCATTTATTTGTGACAAAAATTATTTGAAAATAAATTTTGTTTTCAAGGTTTCGAAACTATTTGTATCAAATGTAGTCTTCTATATAATTCAGTCTTAATATACCATACAAACACCATACACATATAAAATAAGACTTTCATTTTGAAAGGTACATGTACGAGGGTTGTCCAAAAAGTTCGTGGATAATGGCGTTTTTGTCAAAATGAATGGTTCAAGATATGCTTATTGTATACCAAAATATTAGTTATGAAAATCCCAGTCGGAATAGTTTGATTTTTATTGTTTGAACTTAATATTTTTGTAAAAATCTCGGTCATTAAAGGTCTCCCATAGTGCGCACGGACCAGGGTTAAAATGCCATGAACTTTTAAATAAAGTGATCTGATTGAAATGACTATTTTCTTTTTAAAACGAGTCAAAGCTGAATAAAAATTTAATATATCACAAATAAAGCGGTTATCGCCATTTTCTGGTACCTTTAGTATCGCTTACTAAATAAACGATGAAAATATTAAGTGAAAACCGCAAGAAGTATGTTTCAAAAATTGAACAGGAAAAGCGACGTCGGCCATCCGAACGGAACAGTGTCCAATCATACAATTATGTTTAATATGGTTGAAACGTCGTCAAAAACAAAATATTTATTCAAACAACTTAAATTTATTGGAAAATATTTAGTCTAGTGATTTGTAATTGGTGTTTACGATTTTTCCAACGGTGTGTAAAATTTCGGAGACACTAAAAGAAGTGAAAAACCACTGTTATTTGATGAAAATAGGATATACTCCTGTTCATGACGTTGTTATAAATATAACGCCGTCGGGCTGGGCATCCTGTGTTTATGAAGTGTTAATATTGATGACGCTCATAAATTATTGTGTATTGTTTTGAATTTTAAAATTTAAATTAATTATAATCTATACATAAATATTATTGCACACATTTGGCAATGTGGTATAATAAAGAAAAAAAGCGTGCGTCTATGAACATGCGATAAAAATTCAAAATTCATATTTCTGACGTTATCATGAAATAAGCATTACGTCAGACTAGCCCGTGCGACTTGCATATACAAAGTATTTACACCTATAATGTTCAGTAAATAGTGTGCATTGTTTTAATTTTTTGTACATTTACTCAACCGTGGTCTATATTAAGATATTATCGTACATGTTTGCCATTGCGGACTTTATAAAGAAAATTAAGCATTTGTCCACGAACTTTTTGGACAACCCTCGTAATATGCTTTTTGAACTGAAAACTACATTCAAAAAAAAATCTGCCATTTGTTTAATATATGTGTACTTACTTTAGACCAGGAGACATCTAACACATCTGATACGTGACCCCGGTAAACACAAAGAGGGCGGGACATAAAGGGGGCGTCCTTATCCTCATCTGATGTCATCTGGGCCTGTCAAAACAAGGCAAAATATTAATTCACAAGTTTATTTGCTATGTAATAAGTTCAATATCTGTTACATAATTACTTTTTAACTGAAAAATGATGGTTGAAAACTCATTCATGTGAGTCTCTCTATAGGTGACTGTATGATAACCAAATGAATAATTCTGAGTAAGTCTTGAGCATCATGAATATTTCCAGCAGGAGAATAAAATGTAAGTCAATAGCAATTGTCTTTTTGTATTTTTCTTCATACCTGTGTAAGAAAATCTCCCACTGAATTTTCTGACACAATAGAGTTGAGGCTTTCATGTGAAGGAGCTGGGGACACGCGAACTGGAAAATAATCATGAATTCATCATAATATGATGAAATAAGATCAGGAATGAAAGGCCAGAACCACTTTATGTTATAAGTGGGAAAGGACAGGGAGTTATTCTTCACTATCCTCCAATCCCCTTTCTCCCTCTACCCCATCTCTCATTTCCTTCCCCCTCTTCTCCCCCTTTCCCTCCTCTCTCCCTCCCCCCTTCCAGACTACCTTCTCCCACATCCACCCCCCCCCCCTCCCCAATATGTACATAAAAATTAGTTTATAAATCTCCAAACCCAGGGAATTACAATTTTTTCCATTGTCTTTAAAAGTTGAAAAGCATACTTTGGAATCACCAGTGCTTCTGGAACCAATGTTTGGGGATTTCATCAATCGTGGGCCACCTTTGCCCACAAATTTACATCTCCAAGAATGATAACTTCAACATATTAGTTCATTGAATGTACTGTATATACAAGTTACCCACAAAATTACATGCCCAGGAACCAGAAAAATTTCAGTTGTCTACAAACATTGTGCCCCCCAACCCCTACCCCCCAGTCTAAAATGATTCCATAATGCACATTATTACATGTACAGTAAAAATTGTCTAATCTGGACACCACTGGTTCCATAAAAAATGGCCAAATTAACCAAAATTCAAGATTAAACAATATTTCAAACACTAGAATTTACTGAAAGGAACTTAAAGTTAACATCATATTAGACAAGATTTTGGAATACACAACATTCAGATTAGATGTTGTGTATTCCAACAGTTTCACTGAATTTGTCTTTCAACCTTTTAATTAAATCACAAACAAAAATTACATGTATGTCTCTTTGTTGGTTCTCAGATCTTTGATCATTCAAAGTAAACCTGTTACTAGTGACTGTAGCTGACTCCTCCTTTTACATACCATCAGCATACTTTGTCCTCATGTCATCAAAGTGAGGATAGGCGGCCTTGAGGACCCAGATCCTCAACATGTTATCTTGTCCTCCAGTCGCTAGGAGTTTCCCACAGGGTGAAAACTTCATGGTCCACACAGCACCCTGTAACAGACAACAAGGGTCAAGGGTCAAAGGTCAAGGCTAAAAAGGTCCTCTACTCAAATGTTACACTTCATCTCATAATGAAAATATTGATAATAAGTACCCTGATCGTGCATAATCGTAAAATCTTTACGGTACATTGCTGGTGTTTCACAAGATGAATAGCAATTTTTGTCCTTCAACATGTTTTGAAGAGTACATACATGCATATCAATCATTACAAATGTCTCCTTTAAAATAAACTTTTAACAAATACATGTATCTATCAGTACTCCAGTATGTAAGTTTTTAATAAAGCATGGGTTTACATGCTTAGTACTGATCAAATATGGGACAAATACAAAAATATGTAGAGTGTTTATCAATAACATGCCATGTAATTACAGATCAGAGCAATGAGGTAATTAATCATGCACTTGATAAGATAGTAATGCAACGGCATGCAAACAAAAAAAACCTGCATGCATTGTGTATATGCGTTGGTAGCATTAATAAGTATGTAAGAGCAGAAAATATGTTTGGGGAATGCTTTGAGAATGTTTAAAGCCATCTCAAAATACAGATTTTGTGTAAAATCAGATGATAGAGACTTTGGCAGAATTTTAAGGCTGTAAGAGTTAATGCTGGAGAACCTACTGCTTCAGTCATTGTACAGTCTAGATCATCGTCCACTTCCTAAAAATAGCATCAACCTCATTATCATTCGGAAGTGTTCGGGTGAAATTCTTTCTTCCTGTGTGCTAGTATTATAGCAATTTTCAAACAATCTATGTGTGATAGCCATTTGATTTTTGTGATTTGTAAAAGTGGTCTGTAAGTGGAAAATGTGACAGCTGTATTGTGTTAATGGGGAACTTTTTGCTAATCAAAGTGTACTCTGAACACATGAAAAGACACTACAAAAATAGATCACAATTCATGTACGAGGGGTGATCAAAAAGTTCGCGAACAATTGAATTACTTCCATAAAAGAAATAAAATTAGGTTTCAGTGTTCATTATTTTTTAAAGTAGTCCTCTCCAATTTTAATGCATATCTGAAACCGTTCTGCCCATGCGCGAATCACGTGATCCAGTCGGTCACGTGACATGTTCCATAGCGTTCTGTTCACAGAAGCTGAAAGATTTTTTCTAGTCTTATATTTCTTACCATGCAAGTTATTTTTTAAAACAAGAACAGTCTATTTGTCAGAAATGACCAAATCTCGGCAAAAGGATGGGTGGATAAGGATATTCTTTTCCAGAATGAGCATGGTGACCATCACAACCCGAGTCATCTTTCTTAAAAACGTCGTTTTTCCAGTATGGATAAAGCATGGACGCCTTCTTTTTATCATATCTGATAAGTTTAAAGTCTAAAGTAAAAGATATTTTAGGAATTTAATAATTACATTATTGTTAGAATATTCAACTATTTTTCTAAATGTAACTTGGTGATCTTTCATAACAAATTGCTCAACTAAGGACATATCTCTTCCCTTGTGTGCTTTCACTGGGCAACAGAACAAACATCATTTTTAACCATCTCCCTTCTTTCACTAAAACAATCAATCCAATTAATGATTCAACTTCTTGCAAGTTTTTTGTCTTCATAAACCTTGTACAAATTATTATATGCTACTGTAAAGGAATTTCCAAGATATACATTAAACTACACAGCCGTTCGTTGCTCGAGTACGACTGAGTCAACCATTTTTTGTCACAAGTCATCTACATATTGACGTCATTTTCAAACTGTGACATCACAAACATGGAGCAAAACATTACATATGATATGCTTTTTAAAGAACATGTGTATGACTATACGTATGACAAATTTCATTCTGGTCTGAATTGTGGTTTTGTAAATATAGAGATAGTTCGCGAACTTTTTGATCACCCCTCGTAAATGCACCAGCTATGAACATTTCATTAAAAAAAAATCCCACAATATTAAAAACACATAAATATTCACAACATCTTGGCATAGGCATCATACATTCAAATACCCACTCTACATTTAAAAGGAAAAATCAGTTGATTTTTAAAAGTTGTCACTCTATGTACCCTTCCAAAGAAAAAAAAAATACAACTGTTGTGGCCATTCCACTCCCAACCCTTTTAGAGCTTTAAAAGCTTATCATGTATTCTCAGGAATATTTTCATTTTTTTTTCTTCAAAGCTTTTGATGTAATTAAAGCACTTCAAAATGCTCCCCCATTTCCCTACCCTAAACCCCATACACACACACAAACTTTCAGCTGGCTGGAAAAAAGAATAAAATACAATATGTTTGATAGAAGACACTGACCGTGTGAACACCACTCATGTCCTGTAACATCTTGAGTTGATTAAATTCCTTAGTGCCTTTATGATGAGCTTTCAGCTGAAACAGAGAATTCAGTTAACCATTATGAATCTTTGATATACCATCTTATTTTTAGCAAAGGTTATGCCTATGTGTCAGTGTAAAATTTCATTCCAAAAACTCATTACCTTAATGTAGACAAACTTCCTTTGACGTTTTTTGAATATGACACTTGTCAAGACAATATACCGTAAACTACAAGTATGTAATTATTAATACCTGCAACATCTTTTATTTGCTTTTCATCAGTTTGAAATCTGTCCATGACAATTAATATTTGTGACTGATAAGACATTCTACACCAAAACAAAATAAAAAGTAATGGTTCGTGACAAGAATTACTCACTAGTAAAAAAGATTATGTAACTCGTGGATATTTCTTGCACACATTTATAGTTTGTTTATAGTGCTATGTGAGAATAAACACTGACAACATGTGGTAAGTATCTTTATTTAAGTCTGGAACATGACTGACCTTAAAGATTTTCCCGTCCACATTGACCTCTTCTTCAATGCCTGTTTCATCTCCATGTATCACTAAAAATAATTAAAATGAGAAAAATTAAATCAGCATCATAAAATTTCCAAAAAGTCCTCCTCCTCAGGTTTCGGTCAGCTATCATGTTACTGTTATATTTCCTACAAATCTTTAAATCTTGAGAAATTACAAAGCAGTGTTTACTCCTTCCTAATTAATGATTCGTATGATAAGTTTAATTACAGATGAATTGAGAAATCAACAATCTTCAGACTGTAAAATTGTGCACATACAGTAAAACTTGCCTTATATGAAGGTTGAGTGTTCTGAGATCTTGCCTACTATAATGTAAATTTTTAGTTCCTTTCAATCAGTAGATTCACTTGTTTGAAATCTTGTTCTATACAGATTTTGATCTAATCCGACCAGTTTCTATGGATTCATAGGTCTCTGGATTAGACAAGTTTTACTGTACATGTATTTTGAGACTAATACAGATTTTGGTCTAATCCAGACAGTCCCTATGGAACGAGTGGTGTCGAATTAGTTTTACTGTACATGTATATTGAGGCACAAACCTTGAGATACTTACCCTGATCTGCAGCAGTTTTGAGTTTGTCAACATTTTTCTTCATTTTCTTCTCCAAGAATTTCTTCAGCTTTAGTCTGAAATACCAGCAGTTACGTGTATTACACAAAGAAATAAAAGCTTTCTTTTCATTCAAAAATCTATACAAAATACCAGTCAAGGTAATAAATACTCATTTCTCAAACACTGACAATACATTGAATACGATTTTGAAAATAACTGAAAATGATAATTTAAAAAAAAAAAAATTAACTAAAAATATTATTACAGTATGATGGCACCTATACTCCACAACCAGTTACAATGCACTGGGTTTTCAGCATTTATTTAACAATTTCAGAGTTACCTACCCCTTCTTTCTGACCCCTGTCTCCTCCTCCAGAGATTTACTGTCCTCTACCCCGTGAGCTCCCTCCTCATGTAAATCCTTACCCTCCCTGTAAAACGTAATCAAATTTAATTTAAAGTTTTAAAATAGATTACAAAAAGGGGAAACTTTAGAATGATTTTAAGACAATTTTCAAGGTAGTTTTCCGATCACACCAATACATTGTATATCAATTCATGCAAAAAAACAAAAACAAAAGAAAATTAATGAAGTCGTGTGAATTCATTGTAGAAGTTAGGAATTGTTATTTAGAAGTGTATTATATTAGAGGTTGGATGCAAATTAGAATCATGTAAAATAATAAATTACATGTGAAAATGTAACACTAAAATTCTGTGTTATATTAACAAAATAAATATTTAATACATTATGTTTTTTCAAGGGGAAAAGATGCACGAAATTTTTTTTTAAAGACTGAATTTTCATTTGATTCTATGTCTTTATACATATGTATTTCATGTGAATAAAAGGTAAGTCTCTTGTTAAATACTACATGTAGTATATCTAGATAGCGATTCAAATTCAAAGAAACATCTTAAGATTCACTTCTGAATAATAAAGGAAAAGAACAAAATGTTGATATTGCTTGCTTTAAAAGCAGATTCTTTTAATGAATGAAGCTAATTTTTTACACACCTGTACGGCTTTTTTTTTTAAATAAAAGACACTTTTCCGTGTAAAAGACTGAAAGTCAGCAGATAAAAATTTTCTACAAGATCTAGCTGCAGGAAGGGGTCCCTTTTTGATCCCCAACAAAAGGAATAGCATTTCCCAACTAGCCATATCTCTAAACTAGACCAGATACTCTGTATATCTTTCAAATCCTTTTCGCAAATGATCTCAATTTTGTTTTCAAACATATACATGTATCTTGATATATAATATGAAAAGATTATCAATAAAAAAATATTAGAGGAAGAGGAAATATAAAGAAAGGATTCCTGGAATATGACTTTTTGATTTTTTTTTTCCAGTATTAAAACCTGAATTTTACAAACATGTTGATATAATCATATATATACATGTATATGATGCCTAAATTTGAAGGAATTTGCAGTTACTCTCAATAATTGAAATTCTAATGAATTTAGATAAAAAGTGAAATTCCACTAATAAATGAATGTAATTCTGAAGTTATGAGATATTCAGTCTCTTATCTAGGTATATAAGTTAAAGAGACCTTGTACCATTGTAAACTGGTTCTCACTACGATACTTGCCTTGGTATCCAATACAAACCATAGCGCGACTTGTGTGATCTGAGGGGGCAAGCATGCAGGGTTTTTATGATACATGTACATGTATACTGCATCACGTAAGCATCAAATCAATATTAGGTCTATTCACAACTTATTTTAGCTGCCGTATTTACATTTAAAATAATGTCACTAAAAAACAGAGATAATTCTAATGAAAATTTCTGACTTTCCTGTTTTTGCTGCATTAATGTAAGAAACATCATTTGGGACCGTCAGTAATAGAAATACACATTTACACTTTCAATACCAAAAAAGAAAAAAATCATAATAACAGCATGAAAACAAAACAAAATAAAACATCACTTCAGTAAAGAAAAGATAAATTCCATACCCATCCATTTCCTTGGTGAGTTTCATGATGTGTAAAGTCAGAGGGTTGATACATTTGGGGATTTTATCCTCGGCTATACTTAGTGGAACCTTCTCCCCCGTGTCCAGATTCAGAACCAACACCCCTTCCAGGATTTCCTACAGAAAAAAAATAGAATTTAAACAAATTTATGCTGCAGATAGTGGAATATATACAGGTGTCATAAAACTTTTGCAAAGAGCAGAGTACATGTATACCCAGAAGTATTTCCATGATCTTATAATTGTTGATAAATTAAAAGCATTAAACAAAAGATACATTTTTTTTTTATTGAAATATTTCCTATAACAATCTCATACCTCATCAGTTAATGTCCTTCCCGAGTTTGAGCGTGGCCTCGGAGCTGTTGGCTGTTGCTCCTCGAGCTCCTCTGTGTTGGGTGATGAACAGCGAGATGATTCTTTTGACGATTTCTTGTCCCGATCTCCGGATTTCCTACGTTCCCTTTCTACTGACTTTCTTGAAACATTGGAACTTTTTCGAGGCAGACTAGAAGATTTCTTACTTTGATACTGTCCCTCGTCATTCTTGTGTGATTTACTTTCACTTCGTCCCAATGAACTAGATCCTGACTTACTTTCACTTTGTCCCAATGACCCTGATGTAGACTTGCTATCACTTCTCCACTGGGAACCAGTTCTTCCATCTGCTCTGCCCAGAGAAGCTGTTTTTCTGCCCTGTATTGGTGCACTCATTGATTGCCTCTGACCTCCTGATTTTGAGCGCGACTCAGATCTCCCAAGTGAGCTGGATCTACTACTTCCTGTTGCAGATCTCGGACGAGACTGATCAGAATTTACCGCATGTAATTCAGCATCCTGCAAATACAATGTATGATGTCATAGTAATTATAAAAAGCCTAAAGAATCTGGGGGGATAAGACAAGCCATGTGCCCATGCCCATTTTTCGGCAATGCAAGAACATTTATTGGAAAAAATCTCTCAATTGTTCGAATTTACTTAAGCATTTTAATGTTTACCGTAGTTTTCAAAATGATATTTATATTCTAAACAAGCTAAACAGTTGACTTTCATTTACTGTCACAAATGTCCAACATGGGTAAGGACTTCTATTATTTAATCTGCATATTGAGTGTTTACACTTATTGTGGAGATATTATAAAAATGTTAACATCGTATATAATGATAATGGTGATCTAGAAGCGCTTTTATTTAAAATAAATAAAAACGGGAATAAAAGTATTCAAATATCTATTATAATTTTTATCCAGCATTTTAAATAATTTACTGTAAATAAAAGTTCATTACTACATGTATATATTTTATTTCCAGTGAAAAATATGTTATTCCTATAGACATTTTCTATAAAATAAAACAAAATTAAAACAAAACAAAACAAAACAAAAATAAATCAAAAAATCAGAGCAGGACTCGAACACTTTCCTCAATAAATGTCGCTTTAAAGAGCTCCTCACTAACCACTAGACCACGGAGTCACATTTACATGTCTATTTAAATACCATACAGTTCTCTATATTTAGCAAGCGTTTTTGGACTTAGAATTTTTTAAGACCACGGTGAAAATTTAAGTAAGTTAACTTAACTTTTTATGTAGAGTGGGTCTTCATACCAAATTTTTGCAAGTGTAAAAAGCAACATCTTTCCATTGCCTTTCATTAATCGTTCTCAAAAAAATGGTATGATGACCCACTCTATTTAAAAAATGTAGTTATATCATCCAATTTATGTCAGTATCCGTGAAAATCGAGCGCGATGCCATTTTGTTGTGTTAATCAGAATCATTTTCGCTGCTAGAGTATTCAGGTTTTGTCAAATTTGTATGCAAATGGTAATAAGCATTACATTAATTCAACAAAAAGTGAAATTTTTGTAAAATGAATTTATTGATTTTTTATCGATCATTATGTAGGCATATGGCTCGGCTTATCCCCCCAGTTTCTTTCTTTTGTTACTTTCGTTAAGTACAAGTACATCCACATTATAATATAAATGTATACATGTACATGCATGGTCTTAATAGCAACTAGCCACCATCTATTTTCAAGAGCCAAATTGCACTGATGGCACTTGCAATTCTATTGGATGGTTACTTAACTAAATATTTACTGTTTTCAGAAGCCACTTAATTTCACCAGTACATATATCTCTGATGACAAGAAAGAACTGAACTTCACTTTAAAAAAACTGACCTCCATTCGGATGTGTCGCCGACCCCCTAAACAGTCTCTTATATCCAGGAAGTTATCCAACGCAGGCCCACTGTCTGGGGACTGAGAGGGGAGGGGCACAGATTCCCTGTTATCCCAGTCAGGTGTGCTAGCTTCACTTGAAAGCTGGAAATATTAAAAAAAAAAATACCAGTACTCTGGCCCATGGTTAACAATACAATGTACATTAACATACATATATACTTACACCCATGCAACATGAAAAGGTAAAATAAAACTATGAACACTTTTTAATTATTTGATAATAAATTTTGAATCCACTCATTGACTTCACTGATTGTGCACAAGAAAGTACATGTGTATAATGTTATACATATTTCTTTATACAATAGCACATTTTTGACGTAATGTCACAAAAATTACACAAATAAGAAATACCTCTTGGGGATGCTCATTTTCCCTCCTCCGTCTACGGGGAGGGGCTCTAGGTTCAGTAGACTGCCCTGGTGGAGGAAGTGAAAGCGAGTGGGAATTCTGGGAAGCTGAAGCTAATTGGTCCATTACAGAGGGAGGAAGTGATGTCAGAGTGTTAGGAGGTGTCCTGGTGCTGCGTACAATGTCAGGCTCATTGCTGCCACTACAAACCTGATTGTCTTGTAACAATTTATCCACAATATCATCCGAATCGGATAAAAGTTCATCCACATCAAGATCTGGAATCTCCTTTTCCATTTTGGCTTTGGTTGGATGAGAAGAGTCCATGTTTTCACTAAAAGTTAATCGCTTAGTGACTTCTGATGGGTTGTAGGAATCTACAAAATCCTCAGCCGAGTCTTGAGCTTCATTGGACGAGTCAGAATCATAATCTCGAGTTGATTTGTCGGACTCGTCTTCTCCTAAGTCTGAGTCATTCTCTGTGCTTACATTTTCATTGGAGATTTTTTGTCTCATGTTCTCTAATTTCCTTCGTCGTTTTTCTGCTTCTTGTAACTTCTTTTCCTCCTCCTAAACAATGAAATTCTCCAAAAAAGATGTGTTTGTGAAACACTGATGCCCCCGTATGGCAGCTTATGGCGAAGGTTAAAGTTTCTCAAATGCAAGTCAAAATCCAGGCCAAAAGATAAAAATGTTAAATTTGAAAGCCCTGGGGTTCCGGTCACGTGATGGTCTGTGCTTGACCAAAAATTTTTAGCTCCGCTGCTTATCTTAAAAACTTTATTTCTTTGTGGTTTTAAGTGTGTCAAATGTTGTGTAAAGGAATCTGATGTTCAATCTGGTGAGTGTTACATAAGTTTTGGATTTTTTTCAATACGTATACAACCGCCCTATTTAAATTTAAGACTTTCTTTGTTGTGAACTCGTATTCACCTCACAATGGCTGATAAAGCGGGAGCTGGAAAAAAGACACCAGACAAAGAACAAAAACCAAAAAAATTAGTTCAGTTAGATTTGAAAGCGGCACCTATGTCCGTCAGAAAATCTATTGTGTCTGAGAAGGCTGCGGCGAAAAAACCTAGAACTAGTAGTGGAGATCACACCCCTAATCATGATAACAGTAAATCAGAACAGCATGACGAAATCGCTTGCGATCTTAGACAAATTCAAGACAGTCTTTCAGAAATTAGAGACTCAATGGTTAAGAAATCAGATGTAAAACTTTTAGTCTCGGAAATTTTGTCAGAGTTGAAAAATGAACTGAAAGGTGAGATAAAAAAAGAAATAATCACAGAGATGAAGGAGGATTTTGAAAGAAATATTAAAAACACAGTTAAGGAAGAATTTGAAGAAAAAATAAAGAAAACATACAAAGAATTTGAAACACAAACAAAAGAGATCTCTGACGGGTTTAACCTCGATTTCGACACCCTTCGAGAAAAACTCAGTGCCCAGGCGAGTGAAATTAGATCTTTGAAGGAACGACTAAGAAAATGTGAATCTATAGCAGGGTCAGCTATCACCCTCGCAAATCAAAATCAACAATATTCACAGAAAAGTAATATTAAATTTACAAACTGGGCAGAGGAGAAAAATGAAAATCTTAGACAAAAACTATGCACAACGCTAAAAGAAGTGGTGGATGTTGACCTTGACCCCGCCGATATCCTGGCCATTCATCGTATCCCGGGGGGAGATGGAAAAGGACCACGTCCTGTCATCGCAAAATTCCGCAACAACGACATCAAAGTCCATGTTATTAAAAACAGATCTGAGAAAAATCTAAAAGACATCTTTATTATGCATGACCACTTAACACAAATGAACGCTAAACTAGTGCGCGATTTGAACAATGATCCGAGAATTCACAGTGCCTGGTATTATAATGGAAAAGTGTTTGCTCTGGACGGAGAAGGAAACCGCCACAAATTCGATATTCTGGACAATGTGTCTGAAAAACTGAAAGGATACTGAATACAATTGTTCAAATGTGCAGCGGAGCGGACCTTGTTTCGACACCATTTGACTGTGGGATCGGGCTCGTTTGACTGTGAGATCGGGCTCACTATACTATAAATTAAATCATGTTTACTGTTTGTGTAAGTGTGTTGGTGAGTGTGTGCATATTCCCCTGTTTTTCTATTACCAATATGTGCTTCGATTATCTGAAAAGATGGTGCCTATCACTTTTTATGATTTCTATTTTATTGCTTTTTTCTAAATTGCTACAAACTAAATAAGTGACTCAATTAAAATAGCAACGGTGAATTGTCAAGGTTTGGCAACAGGTACCAAAAGGCAGGATGTTTTAAATTATTATAAGAAAAAGGGCTATTCAATTCTTTGTTTTCAGGATACTCACTTTACAAAAGAAATAGAACCTTACGTTGAAACACAATGGGGATATAAATGTATTTTCAATTCGTACAAGTCAAACTCAAGAGGGGTATGCATTCTGTTTAATAACAATTTTGAATTTCAGATTCACAGGGAGAAACAGGACATTAATGGTAATCTGTTAGCTCTCGATATGACAATCGAGGATAATAAAGTTACTTTAATTAATATCTATGGACCAAACACAGATAATCCAGAGTTTTATGAGTTTAACTTAGTAAGAGAAACTTTATTAGAGCTTGACAATGATTATTTTATATTATGCGGTGATTTTAATTTGGCTCTTGACCCATCAATAGATGCAGAAAATTATTGTAACATTAACAATCCAAAGGGGAGAGAAAAACTTTTAGAAATTATGAATGATTTACAAATAGTTGACTATTTCAGGATTTTGAATCCAAACTTAAAAATGTTTACTTGGCGGAAGAAAAATCCAGTGAAACAAGGACGTTTAGATTATTTTTTAATTTCTGAAAATATGTGTAATTTGGTTGAAAACTTAGCAATTAAACCAGGGTACAGATCGGACCACTCATCAGTGGTTCTTGATATAAAATTTAATACCTTTAAGAAAGGAAAAGGTCTCTGGAAATTTAACAACTCTTTACTTACAGACATAACATATGTTAACAAGGTGAAAGAAACAATAAAGTCTATTAGAAAACAATATGAAAAGAATAATGTGCTTATAGATGATATGGATAACAGTACATTTCTTGAAGTCCTCTTAATGGAGATTAGAGGAATTACAATCTCATATTCGTCATATAGAAAGAAAGAAAAAGATAAAGAAGAAGTCTTGTTAATTGCACAAATAGAGAAATTAGAGGCAGAGAATATATTGAATCTACAGTTAATAGAAGAGAAAAAAACAAATCTTGAGAATTTGAGAAAAGAAAAGCTACAAGGTCATGTTATAAGGTCTCGAGCCAGATGGGTTGAAGATGGAGAAAAGCCATCTCAATACTTTTGTAAACTAGAATCCCGTAACTATTTAAATAAGATTATCAAAAAGATTAAAACAGACAACGAGGTAATTTACAATCAATCAGAAATTTTAAACAGAATTAGGATGTATTACAAATCACTGTATACTTCTGCAGACGCAGAACTTCTCGATATAGATCTGGCAGAAATTATTACAGTTACTGAGGTTCCAAAACTTGATAATCATGTTGCCAAATCACTTGAGGGAAATATTATGGAAAATGAAGTCTTACAGGTGTTAAAAAATATGAAAAACAATAAATCACCGGGAAGTGATGGTTTCACTGCTGAATTTTTTAAATTTTTTTGGTCAGATTTGAAACATTTAATAGTACCTGCCATAAATGATGTATTTCAGAAAAAAGAACTCCCTATCTCTCAAAGACTAGGGATAATTACATGCTTACCAAAAGGTGATAAGCCAAGAGAATTTCTGAAAAATTGGCGGCCTATTACACTTTTAAATGTGTTTTATAAACTTATATCAGGTTGTATTAGTTATAGAATAAGATCCACCCTGGACAATATTATATCAAATACTCAACTTGGCTTTTTAAAAGGAAGATACATAGGTGAAAATACCAGATTTCTTTATGATCTTATGGCTTACACTGAATCTAGAAATATACCGGGGTTGCTTGTACTTATAGATTTTGAAAAAGCTTTTGATTCAATATCCTGGACCTTTGTGTATAAAGTATTAGAATTTTTTGGATTCGGTAAAAACATTATTGAATGGGTAACAATTTTAAATACAGAATTTTGTGCATCTGTTCTTCAATGTGGATTTTTATCTGAACAGTTTAATATCCAAAGAGGATGTCGTCAGGGAGATCCTGTAGCACCATATCTGTTTCTTCTTTGTGCAGAAATTCTTGCAATAATGATTAAACAAAATCAAAGCATTAAAGGAATTGTAATTAACAAGACAGAGCATAAAATATCTCAATATGCAGATGATACCTGGCTTGCCCTTGATGGTTCACCTGAATCACTTTTTGCAGCATTAGATACAATTGATTTTTTCTCAAAGTTCACAGGACTTAAAATTAACAGCTCAAAAACAAAAATTGTTTGGATAGGTTCAAAAAAATTCTCTAATCAAGTTTTTCACCATTCTCGTTGGAAACTTGAATGGGGTTGCACAACTTTCAATTTACTTGGAATTAATTTTTCAGTAGAACTAGATAAAATTATTGATATTAACTATAATGTTCAAATACCAAAAATCAAAGCATTAATTCAACAATGGAGAAGAAGAATTCTTACTCCTATTGGAAGAGTCACGGTGCTGAAAACATTGATTTTACCAAAACTTAACCATTTTTTTATATCCTTACCAAATCCAAATAAAGAAACCTTGTCACTATTGAACAGAGAAATATTTGAGTTTATATGGAAATCAAAATGTGATAAAGTAAAAAGAAAAATTATTACTCAAGATTTTTTACAAGGAGGATTAAAAATGTTGGATATAAATAACTTTATTATCTCTCTTAAGTGTTCCTGGATTAAAAGATTAACAAAAAGCAATCAACCATGGTTTGATATTTTTTCGACAATAAATGGTAAAGACATATTGACTAAACTTTTTGATTTTGGTGAAGAGTTTGTATCTTGTTTGATTGTAAAAAATAATGATTTTTGGAAAGATGTGTTTAATTCATGGCTATTTTACATGAAGACACTCGATAACAATTCATATATGAAAACTAAGTATCTGAATTTACCTGTCTGGTATAATCCCAATATAAAAATGGGAAATAAAGTAATGTTTATAAAAACCTGGTATAAAAATGGTGTTAAAAGTGTTTGTGATTTCTTAAACAATGAAGGAAATTTTTTAACTCTCACTGACTTTGAAAATAGATTTCATTTGTTTAATGTTTGCATTATGCAATACAACAGTATTATCTGTGCTATATCCAGGTATTTAAAAACAATGTCTATAGACAAATCATCTGTTAAGAGACAATGTACACCTTTTATTCCTTTTTATTTTGAAAATATTATTGTATACGAGAAGTGCACAAAAATAATTTACAAATATTTGAATAGTAACCTTGTCACTCCTACATCAATATTTAGATGGAACCAGGAACTGTCAGTGTTTTTGGAATCTGATATTTGTGTTCAAGATGTTTTTAAGGTTTGTTTTAGAACAACTATGGATACTTCTGTTCAATGGTTACAGTATAGAATCCTTCATAGAATCCTTCCAGTGAAGTATTATTTGAAGAAAATAAATATTTTATCTGATGACCACTGTACTTTTTGTAAACAGGAGATAGAAACAATACAACATATATTTTTGAATTGCACAAAAATCTCTTCATTATGGAGTAATCTTAGTATGCACATTTTTACAAAAACTTCTAAAAGAGTTGGGTTTAACATGTGTAATATTATTTTTGGTGAAACTCCATTATTTTATCATAACAGGGTGATGAATTTCATTATTCTTTATACAAAGCAATATATATTTTCCTGCTTGAAGCAAAACAAAATACCTATGATTAATGGGCTGCTACATTTTTTAACTCTTAAGTACAAAATAGAAAAATGCATATCAATTCAACAATTTGAAATGAACAATTTTGAAAACTTATGGTCACCATGGATTAATATTTTTGAGTTATAAACATTTATTAAAGCACCAACAATAATTATTTTTTTCAAATGGAATACTTGTACCTCATTGTTAATAATTTTCTTTTATTTCATTCTTGTTTAAAGTCAGAAGGGGAAGTGTGAATGTGTGAAAGAATGTGAAAAAAAGTTTCAGTATGTTACTTGATATATCTCTTTTTTCTAATAAAAAAAAAAAAAAAAAAAAAAAAAAAAAAAAAAAAAAAAAAATTTGAAAGCCCTAGCTGCAACTGTTCAGAAGTTATGGCCAAGGTTAAAGTTTTTTAAAAGTAAGTAAAACATCAAGGTCAAAGTCAAAGTTGTTGGTATCCAAAGGAAGGTCTTGTCACAAGGATTACATATGTAAAGTATGAAAGCCCTAGCACCAACCATTCAAAAGTTATGGCCAAGGTTAAAATTTTTTGAAAGTAGGTCAAACTCCTATTTCAAGGTCAAAAGGTCAAAGTGGTTGGTATCCAAAGGAAGGTCTTGTCACAAGGATTACATATGTGAAGTATGAGAGCCCTAGCACCAACCATTCAAAAGTTATGGCCAAGGTTAAAGTTTTTCGAAGGTAGGTCAAACTCCTATGTCAAGGCAAAGGGTCAAAGTCGATGGTATCCAAAGAAAGGTCTTGTCACAAGGATTACATATGTGAAGTATGAAAGCCCTAGCACCAACCATTTCAAAATTATGGCCAAGGTTAAAGTTTTTCAAAAGTAGGTCTAACTCCTATGTCAAGGTCAAAGGGTCAAAGTGGTTGATATTCAAAGGAAGGTCTTGTCACAAGGATTACATATGTGAAGTATGAAAGCCCTAGCACCAACCATTCAAAATTTATGGCCAAGGTTAAAGTTTCTCAAAAGTAGGTCAAACTCCTAGGTCAAGGTCAAAAGGTCAAAGTTGTTGGTATCCAAAAGAAGGTCTTGTCACAAGGATTACATATGTGAAGTATGAAAGCCCTAACTCTAACCGTTCAAAAGTTATGGCCAAGGTTAAAGTTTTTCAAAAGTTATGGCCAAGGTTAAAGTTTTTCAAAAGTAGGTCAAGGTCAAAGGGTCAAAGAGGTTGATATCCAGAGGAAGGTCTTGTCACAAGGAATACACAGGTGAAGTTTGAAACCCCAAGCAACAACTGTTCAAAAGTTATGGCCAAGGTTAAAGTTTTTCAAAAGTAGGTCAAACTCCAAGGTCAAGGTCAAAAGGTCAAAGTTGTTGGTATCCAAAGGAAGGCCTTGTCACAGAGAATACACAAGTGAAGTTTGAAACCCCAAGCACCAACTGTTCAGAAGTTATGGCCAAGGTTAAAGTCTCATAAAATTTTGCAAAAGTGGGTCAAACTCCAAGGTCAAGGTCAAAAGGTCAAATATGATGGTACCCAAAGAAAGGTCTTGTCACAAGGAATACACACGTGAAATATGAAAGTCATAGCTCCAACCAATCAAAAGTTATGGGCAAGGTTAAAGTTGACAACAGACAGACAGACAAACAGACAAACAGATAAACAAACAGATAAACAGACAAACAGACAGACAGGACAAAAACAATATACCCCTGGGATCTTTCGATCCGGGGGCATAATAAAAATGTATGTTATACACATGTAGCTCATAAATTTGAAGACTGTAACTTTACCCAGTTTTCAATTTTCTTGTATTACTAATATTCAATTCCTATTCCCATTGCTCCCTCTGAACTTGTTCACATATATAGTATTCCACCTTACATACATGTACACTACCTACCCCACGACTACACAAGTTCTCTATTATCTATATCTTTGAAATTTGAAATAAATTTCAGATCTTAGCTTTGCCAACACTTTCATCGTCTTCTCTCTGCAGTCTCTTATAAGCTTTTACTTATCATCAATCTAATTTGACAGACCTTGACCTAATTAATTTGACAGACCTTGACCTAATTAATTTGACAGACCTTGACCTAATTGACACACCTTGACCTAATTAATTTGACACACCTTGACCTAATTAATTTTGTCTTACCTGTTTCTTTTCCAGTTTTCTTTTTTCTTCCAGTTCCAGCAGCAGTTGTCTGTATTCTTCATCTTCCTGTCTTCTCCTAATAAAGAAAATGATTTCAATATTAATGGTTGGACTCTCTGTAAAATGTCACGTTTATTCCAGGGTACAGCTGGAACAAAACGGGTGTGTGAACAGCAGATTTAAACTTTTACGGATTCACTTTATCTAAGATTGAATTCAAAATGTACAAGCAAAGGCTGGTGTGCTAAACAGCCCCAGGCTGACTGACCAAAAATAATTACATATATCTGAATTTTACACTTATTTTCGCATGTACTTAATCATTGATAAGTGTACCCTCACGGAGTAACTTCAACTGAAAATAAAAACATCATAGAGAAGGTACAATTGTATATAAATCTTTATTTAAGATAGGTGCACACTGTTTACAACCAATTCCCATTGAATTTTGGCCCTGGCCCACTTTCAAAAACCAATCACGTAAAAAATCTCAAGTAGGTACTTTTACATTCTCTCCTTTGGCTGGTCACTGTGGTTGGGACTTCCAAATCACTTCAACATATCCATGGTATTCAAGATGTTGGTGTTCGCGAGATCAAAGTTTAACTGTATTTATCAGGTTCATTTTTCTACACTATTGTTTGAAAATTACCAGAATCATTTTAGATTTATCATAATTCATTAAAGAAAAAGGGGCCATTGACTAAAGTTATGGGAATTCATCCTTTAGAATTTAGTATGGGCAAAATTTGAGAAAACTGCTCTTTGAAGATGATTTATTTTTCTTATATAGGGTTTCCAAAAAGGGAGGCAGGAGGCAATTTTTCACCCTTTTCATTGTTTCAATGATCATAAATGATAATTCATCACAGTTGGCAAAATAAACTATCAGAAATGATTCTAAAAAAGCCTCTTCAAATGGATAAACTCACCTCTTCATTTAAAAATTACTGAAAGCCTTGGTCTTTAGGAACTAAACTTAATGATTTATCAATTGTAGCATTATCTCCTTTCGTATAATTATTGATTTATCAATTTTCAATGCTAACCCCCACCCCATTTCCCCTTTTTTTTATCATCGAGTGTTAATTTTCTTCCTTAATTACCTTTCTTCCTGTTTTCTTTTAAATTCAATCAGCTTTCTTTCTTGTTCTTCTAGACTGTTTCTGGACTAGAAGTTAAAACAAAATGAAAACTAAAAATACATGTATACCCCTAAATACCATGATGTTACTCATTCTTATTATCAAGATAATGGTAGGTAATTACAAACTGTATATAAAAGCTTACTATCTAAACTATTCAGCAATATTATCCAATAATAGATAAATTATTCTGTAAACAGAATTATTGGAAATACACCACTTAAGATTTTTAAAATTAAAACACTGCATCTGTACATGGAAAGATATTGACAGTTATTTGATTGTTAAAGAAAGATGTTCTGGGGAACTAAAATTTCACAGCCAGTTTCTTTCATTTATTTTACATTATATAAATGTAAAATGGGTCGATTGAATGATTTTACTGTAGTTTGCCCTTGAACACGTCAACATCTCTGTCAGTGTCTATCATGTCTATTTTCACATAATCATACATGCATTTTTTACTGTACTTGTAAATAAATATGATTTTTTTTCCTCTTGATAATTCACTGAATTTGGATAACCCAAAGTCATGCTTGGATATAAGTAAATTTTATAGTCTACTGGTCCATTAATTGTGCTAGTGATTTCAATGTCTATCCCTATAGTGTATGCAGTGTTTACATTCAGACATACCTGAGAGGCTGTGGTATGAGGAATATTCTTGCCAAGAATTCTGAAATACAGATTATACAAAATCTTTACAAAATTTTTGCCTAAAATGAATAAAAACAATTATAGATGCACTTAAATGGAAGATGCATTAGAATTGATCCACTTAAAAATAAATCGTGAACAAAATCTGCCTTAATACTTGTCTCATGTAGCCAAGAGTTAGTGTTTGAAGGATTTAACTATAATTAATAAAGAATCACATAGTCATTCATATGATATATTTAACAAGAAGGGTGCAAATGCAGGAATCATTTGAATTTGAACTAGAACTCTATTTTACAGCGTAAATGCTTTTTCTCAGCAAAGATATAGGATTGTGGGATCTGATTCATTCAGTTCCCTGAATTACAGCTGGGTCTCAAGTGGAAATACCACTCCAGATCCCTGAGCAATCTATAGATCCCATGGTCTGACCCAGCCACCTCCTCTTCATCTTAATTCCCACATTGAATGTCCAGGTTTTGGATCTGACAGGCCTAAGCTTAGTATTGCACAAAGTGTAATAGAAAGAGAGAAAACCATATGAACCCAATCCTGGATTTGAACTTTGGGCCCACTGAACCCAATACAAATGCTATATACTACTAATTAAATCAACCCTGTCACATTTCCTCAAATGAAGAAACTCGGTATAAGTGTAACTTTTAGCGTTTTCATCCCTGGCATGGCACGGAAGTAAGTGTAACCATGAACATAATCAACAGTGATATTAATTGTATATCTTTGGTGCAATATGGTGAGAATATAAGAACCCCAGTTTTTCAATTGATTTAATTGTGTACCTAAATTCATGTTAACTTCTACCAATGCACATCACCATCTTTAACTAAGATACAGTTAGGCACCATATGAGATGTCTAAATTTAAGTAAAATATAGTAAGGAATACCGAGAATACCTAAGATTCCTGAATCTAGAAGAACAAAATATTCTTAGAAGACTCATAAAATATGGCATAAGCCAGTAGGCAGATTCACTTCTCATCATCACCAGTATTTTGTGTATTTAAACACTTACGGTCTTGGAGTCGCATCCTCAGCATCGTAGAATTCATCTAATTCGCTGTCTGAAGACATTTTAGGTTATTAACCTACGAGAATAATGAAAAGCATTCTTTTTTAGTGGAATGTACTAGTCTAACAACCCACTTCCATTCGTGTAAATAACTAGTCTCGGGATTTTACTTGAGCTTGGGGAAGTCCTCTAGATTCTTCATAGCAATCATAATTCGAGACGCCGACGTTATTTCGTTGGATGTAAAGAGCAAACGTTGGAGTGTGAGGTAAATTTGAACCTAAATAAATGTGTATTTTAATTTAAATTACGTGTATTTTTTTCATAATAAACTTTTCCTATAACTTTATATGGAAAAACTTTAATCTGATCAACAGACAGAAAAAATATTTCCCATCATTCAACGGTTAACCATTCAACATGGAGGACCTAGTGGTCGAAGTTTGCAGTCCGAACGGTATTTATTACAAGGTATTTCAATATTTTCTGGTTTATTTCTGTATTATGTTTAAGAAGTTTAATTGAAATGAATCTAGAAATGGTAATATGTTTATACTGACTTACCAAGATGATTAATCAATTCTGAAAGTTAATTTCTTTGAAACACGCCGTCTTCATGTGGGTTTTCTATGGGCTACTTTCATAATGACTTTTTTTGAAGAAGATGTATATGGTGTTTTGTTTCTTCTGAAATCAGAATTCTTTATTTGAATGAATTGATCTGGTTATATTTTCAAATCATAGGATATATTTTAATTTTAGGTCATGTGTTTATTTTGTGTCAAATATTTAAGATTACCAACCAGAGTGCTGAAAGTATGAGTCATGTTTTGGAGTCTGAGTTGTGCTTTCTTATCATTGTTTATCAAAACTTAAGATGTTTCACTCTGGTGCTCCTGTGATGCACATTATATGGCATCGTAAGGGGAATATGGAAGCTCATGATCATAATGATGTTTCTAAATTTTATCTCAGCCAAACATGACAAGTACGCAGATGGACTTTTAATCTCTTCATGTAGGGAATTTGGAGATAAGCAGATGCATGTACACAATGAAAGAAAAGAGTAATGAACCAAGTCTAATTTTGATCAGACCAAAGTTAAGTCTTTTAAACCAAACCCTTTAACATTTTGTAAATAATTACAGGTCAGGAGAGGTTCTTGTAACTGTGTAGGTTTAATTTACTTGCATGAATCATATCCTTTGATTCAGAATCAAAAAATTGCAGTTGGAGGAGGATGCATTAGATGTGTTAAAAAGTTTAGATAGCGTATGAGTCTTATCAGGCTTATGAGATAGAGACTAAGTCTTGATGTATACAGTCAAACCTGTCTTGGTGTTCAACTGTATGGAATGACTTCCTGTCAGATATGACTTATAAAATCCCATCTTGTGTAATTACCTGCATTAAATTACTTCCTAGAAACTACTACTATATGATGTAGGGAATGAACGCTTTTAAATCTTAAGTTATCATAAACTTATTTGTCACAGGTGTTGAAAAATCAAGTCTCAACCGGGACTCGAACCCAGGGCCTCTGATATATTTCAGTGTCTTGTTCATAGTCGCGATTTTTTTTCATATAGATATTGATTCATGATTGATTTAATAAGCAGAAAAAGTTGTAGTTGTAATTGATTCCATCATGGATAACAAAGTTCTGTTTAATTTTCATTTAAATTTATTATAGTATATTTATTATTGAATAACATTTAGAACATTCCTCATATAATACGTATTTTGGGATTATTTCAAGTTTAGCTTGCCTCTCTCTAGCACAGCTTGTCATGATTCTAATACCATAATACAGGTTTGAATGTTAACACTTGAAAATAAATAACCCTCTTTTCTTATATTATTTTACCTCAGTGCCAGTGTATAAATTTTCCTTTTTAGTTTTAATGTTTCTTAAATCACAGAATTTAATTGTCAGAGCATGTAAATGACACAACAAACATGAAATAGAACAGATTTTTCAAATATGATGTTATTTGGTTCAGTCCACTACAATGAGAATAAATATAGTATTATAAAATGTTGACAAAATGTCCAATATCCAGTTTGAAATGTTGATTGCAGAGGCAAAAAACTTTGTCCTAAGCAACTGAAAGAATTAATTTCTAAACACTAGGCCATCATTTAGCCTGTTTCAATTTATCTTACTGTGAGATCAGATTGTGGAAATATTGTCTGAATTCTGTCAGAGTAGTAAAGCGAGAAAAGTGACTGTAAAATTGAAGATGTGGATGTCTTTGTATATATAGTCTTAATCAGTGAAATTTTATGTGGACTTTATTTTTGGACAATGAGATAACCAGACATAGACCAGACATCTTGGTTAGAGCCTTATTAATTATATTTATCATGCTGTGCAGTGAGGTATAGTCTTCATGTTCACTGATCTTTAAAGGAAGGAGGGGAAACACACAATATCAGTTTATAATGGATATGAAGGGGAAAAAAAAGATGAAAACATTGTTGTGAAGCTTCTGAAATGAGTTTTTACGGATGTTGTTTACAATCTTTATGCACCAACTATCTTTATCTCAACTATAAATTTGCATGCTAGATATCAAAGTTGATGCAGAGAGAGTAAAATGCCCAAAGAATCTTAACTAATTCAGATTAAAATCTGTAAACATGGTAAAACCTGTACATTGAATGTCATGTATTCATATGCGTATCTTGTATGAAAGTTTCTGAAGAGAATTTCTGTTTTGAAAGATTAGTTTGTAGGAAAGTCAGGTGCAAGCAAAGTGAATACAACATAAGCAAGATTTTTTAATTCTGATTTATTCAAACATTTTCTCTATCAAGGCAGACTATTTTTCTATGCATCTTTTTTTTTAAAGCTAAAACAATATAAAATGCATAGTATTACCAACTTGTAGAATTTAGGTTATAAATACAGTGTTGACATTGACATAGTTGACAGATTTACCTATCTCATATTAATTGAATTAAAAGATAAGAATGGAATAGACACTGAAAAAAACATTTTGTGCCCTGATCTGCTACACTTAAAATAGTGTTCTGCTTCACTTCAAACAGAAATTCTTAAACTTGTGTTAAATTAGCAATAAACAGCTTATAGTTTATGCATTTCTTGTTTTGATACTTAAGTGACTGTGTAATCTTTATCAACTATATCTCTAGATTACACATTTTGACATAGATGAACATGAATAATGATAATGGTATGAGAAATTCTGAGATTGGCTTTGGCTGAGGCTATTAATAGCACAAAGCAGAGAGTGTTGTGGGATATCTCTAAATGATCGGTATATATAAACAGAAGCTCAAGAAGCACTGATAGAGAGAGAATCTATATACACAACAAGTTAACCAGCATCTTATAGATTCTGTCTAAGCAAATAAAAGAGAAAAAGCACACGAAAAATACAAATGTTGATGTATTTACAACCTTTTTTTCACTGCTTTAATCCTTTTTTTTTTTTATTCCAGGCATTTGTGAAGAATGTGTATGAAGATGAAATCCTTGTCTCCTTTGAGAACGAGTGAGTCATTGTTTTTGCTCAGCAGTGAATTTTAGAAATGTACTGGAAGGAATCCAAGCCGAGCATATCTGTTCTTGGGGGGAATTCTTCAAATGGGGGGGGCTGTTGTAAAAGTCTGTTATGATCGGTATCAATTTGACATAGATATATTCCCAATGTATCACCTGTGCTCTATAGTGCAGTTGACTACACTACTCACTACAGATATATTTACTATATATTGAGTACACTGCATGTACTCTCAAGAATTTTCATAGAAGCCTCGATAAAAAGATGCCACACATGAGTGTCTGAGTGCCGAGGTGTTGTGGAGTTATTTATAACACTGATAAGACTGATGAGACAGAAATATATCTATGTATTTTGGGGTATAGCATAATTAATAATACAGTGTACACTGTACAGTGAGTAATAAGCATAAGAACTAAACAGCTGTTAATTAAGTTATTACACTTAGTAAATCTATGAAGAATTGGCATCCCTATTAATTATATGAGCCGATATCTCTAGACATATGTATGCATTGATTTTGATTCTCTTCTCTAATACCTAAACACAGGCATAATTACAAGTTAATAAGCCCAGTAATGTGATCTAGTACAAACAGATGTGTTTAGGTGGAGCAGTAGAAGAATTACTATGAGGCCTAAGAAAAAATTATGCTTATTTATTATATTCCATACTGATAAAAAGTAGGTTCAGTAAGTATGATTTTTTTTTTTTAGAAAATTCAGGCATAACATTTAAATACATTTTTTAAAGACGGTTTGAAGCCCACTTCTTCTAGCCATCAAATCTACCTGACAGCTCTAAAAATGGCTACTGAAAGTAAAGAAATGTACACACATGCTGATGCAGTTTCAAGATTTTAGTATTTTACCACAAAATGGTTGGCACATAAAATAGGCAGGGATTGACCTTAATGGTTGTCCGATTGCCCGGGGCAAGTAAATTCTCAGTTCGGGCAAGTGAAACTGCTGATGTACTTGTCCGATCGGGCAAGTGAATATTTCTGATAGATTTTTTTTTTATCTTGCATTAGTTTATAAACAAAACAGTAAACTGAACATTTGATTCCTACCAGGAATATGACATTGTTTTTGCATTCGGAAATTCCTAGATCATACCGTTTATCAAAAAATCGGGTACGTTATTCCTTTTTCTTTCATGGTAGCTAGTTGACAAAAATACGCTTTCCATCTAACAACTTTCTTTACATTCTTATGAAATAAGATATAACAAAATAGTTTATTTATGAACTCAAAGAATATTAGAAAACTAGTTATTCTTGGCGCACGATATATTCTGATCAGGGCATGTATGTTTTGAAACATGGCAACTATTTTCCTTTAGCGTTGCTTCAGTTTTTCAGGGGGAAAAAAATCAAAATTCACAAAAAGACTGCACAAAAAATAATTTTCGAGAATATGAATTTTATTTTTAAGGAAATATTGCTGCATAGCAGTGTGAGTTTACAAATATTTAAAATGAAGCATGAGCTGCAGATCAAATTTTTTTCTTGCACTTAACTTGCCAAAATAAAGTAATATCTCACTTTATTTACAATAATAAATTAAGGTACCAGTTCTCTTCTTTCTAAATTTTGGGCAACCAAGTTTTGCATTCGTGCAAGTCAAAGTTTGAGTTCACTTGCCCGAATGGCAAGTGAATCTGAAAGTTAATGTCTATCCCTGATAGGGGTAGTTGGGTAACCATAAATAAACATTTTTTTCTTAGGCCTGATGATGAAAAGAGGTTATCGTGAATTAGTATATGTCTTATAATGTGTTGTATAATTTTCTATCTTTGAGTTTATCTTCTGAAAAAGAGAAAAAAATATATCATTTATGAGCGAGAAAAATAAATAGTAAATTGCAATATCTAATTCCTCCTTAAGTTACTCAATTCTTTATGTAAATGAAGGAAAGGGGATGTTCTTTGTATGAAAAGCCACAAATAATTTTTATTGGTAAAAATTGTTACTATTTTATTTTGTTTCAAACTTACGTAAGCTCTATGTTATCTACTTTAATCAGCTGGCAGCCGGAGCAGAGAGTCAAGTTCTCCAATGCCAGACTTCCTGTGCAGGACCAGGGCAAACATAGAGACTATAGGGACGGGGAAAATGTTGAGGTTTGTAACAACAGTATGAGGATTTTTGCACAGAAACACACCTAACTTAAGTTGAACTTTGTTATCTCTAACTCGATATCTTGGAAATAGTGAGCTGGAAGTCCCAACAACCTTTTCTTAATGTATTTTAACCTCAATATTTCAAACCCGCAGATATCTTGAGGGTTTTTTTTCTGGCCCCATTGGGTTTGAGATATCGAGGTATGACTGTATTATTTATAAGTTTATCTTGATCAGAAAGTTGGGAGAGTAGCACCTTTCACATACATTTTAAAGAATGTAACGTTTAATTTTCTGTTAAAATTTTTACATTTTCATTTTTAGCTGCATGTAATTGCAGAAAGTATGACTTTAACAAAATACAGTTGAACTTTGGTAACTCAAACAGACAAACACCAATATCTCAGATACTATAGATATGTTGAAGTTATTGGAAAGTCCCAACCACTTATTCTTTGAATATTTTACCATGGTATCTTGAATCCCCTGTTATCACAAATTTTTTTCCCATGGACTTCGAGATAACGAGATTTATTTACATTTGCAAATATTTTTCTTAGATGAACCTATAGAAGAGAAAATATGTTCAATTCTGTATGAACTTATTAGGGGGTCAGAGGTCATGGCGTGACCGAATCACACAGCGAGACGATATCTTGTCTACATATTTCTGTCACAGTGACACTGGTTTCGGAACTTCTGAACCGTCAAAGCGATGAAAAAGATAAAATTATTGAAACATATATTTTTATTTCGTTCAACAAATGATCGTTAGATCTTTCTTCGGTGTGAAGAATGTTTCTAATTAGCCTAAAATCACGCTTACCTTTTTAACCCGAAATTCCTTTGAAGGTATGTAAACTGAAGACGATAGCACCGCTTTTGACTTTATATATAAAGAACTCGTACAATAATAGTAAGATAATTCCCAGTAGCGATCATTGTTTTTTCATTATGAACAGATATTTCCTGAACTGGACTGCTAAACATCAATGTAAGTATTCAAATGTTGGAGCGAGGCGAACTCTCAAGACCAAACAACTTCTAGGTCATTGCGCGTCACAACATAGCAATACGGCGGGCCGTTCGTGTAATAAATGCAGTTCTATTCAGAATATTCGTCTCAAATGTAAATAAAAGTAATAAACAACAATGTTAAAAAGTTCACTGGGAAATGAACTTGGTTGGTACGTGATCAAATCTTCTGAGAAGCCCTTCGGGCTTCACAGGATTTGATCACGTGACCAACCAAGTTCATTTCCCAGAGAACTTTTTAACATTGTTGTTTATTTCTTAATTGACTGTACACATAATTTATAATAACAAATTGCTGGTCTGAATAGTACAGTAAAAAGAGTCTAATAGCTGTTTATGATATTTTATTCTAAAATCTCTATAAGCTTAAGGTTAATTTGGAATTAATGCATTTAAGTACATCATAGAAAGGGTTCTTCATAATAAACATTCCTATTTTGTAAAGATTTGGTAAAGAAATGGTTTTATGCTTTGAATTGAAACTGTCACTGTAATAATAAGACCCCACTGTACTCGCTTGTAAAGTTAAATGTTTTGTTAAAGGCATACAACATTGTTATAATACAGTAATTGCTTCTGACCAACGGTAGTCCTAGCATCTCTGAGGTGAGATCTTTAAGGGTCCCTATTGAGAACTTGAAGGAAGTGTCAGTATTCAAAAGATATTTTAATACCATTATAAAATACATGTATATCCAAATCAACACATTTTGATTTGAAAGAGACAAGAAGAGTTGACACTGGAATAGAGGACCATTCTTAATAGAAGGGGGAGGGGGTGGAGGTAGTTTTGGAAAGGGGATCCTAATTCCAGTTCTAAGAATAGAAATATAAGATTAGGAAGTCTACTTAGGAATTCAAAGAACTGCCCATGCAGACTTAGCCCAAGGCTACAAGCTAATAAGTGACCAGTTTGCAATTTAGAATTGATGCTATAGACCATACTTGTATTTTGTATACCGGTACATATGTTCTATTCAAGTTGCAATGAAGTGATTTTTAGGGTCTTTGTTTCATGCTGTTTATTGATTTCCCCTAACCTAAGAAAACTTGGTGTATAACTGTCTATAAAGGTGAGAACTCCTGAGAATATTTCTGATTTTATGATAACTTGTAATATTGTAGGTATTTACAAGTACAAATGAAAAGGAACAGATGGCTTGGTGGCCAGCAGTGCTGAAGATGTTGAAGGGCGAGTTTGCAGTGATAGAATATACTGGTTATGACTCAAAGTACACAGATATAGTCCCACTCGAGCGAGTTAGACCTCTCAACTCAAAGTAAGTTAAAACTCAAATCAGTGTGATGCAAATCCTTGCATTTAAAATTAGAAGCATAAGCCTTTATCAACACAAGTTGAAGTCGATATTATGGTACACCATGTCAGATTTGGGAGAGATTAAAAGCTGGGATAAAAGACCATGTACATGATATATGTTAAGTATTTCTGAAGAAAACACTGTTTTAATAATGATAGAAAAAAATCTCTTGTCAGTGTAAAAATTTTCCATAACCTTTTGCAGAGTAATTCAAATGTGGTATTTGATAAATAATTGCAAAATTTGTGTTTTAATCAATGTTAAAAAAATGTATTTTTGTTTTTCAGCCCACCAATAGATAAGAACACATTTCACAAGTTTTCTATAGAAGTCCCTATTGACCTACGAGAAGTGTATGTATCAATCAGCTGATTGTCCTTTTTTTTAATTAATTTTTTTTTTTTGGGGGGGGGGGTCCAATTACATTCTCAAGATATTTGAAATACATATACCTATCTTCTGTATAGCCAAATGAATTTCAAAAAGTCCAAAGCACTAAAATTTTAGATAAAAAGATATTAATAAGAAGAACTATTTAAAATGTGGATTGATTGTTGCAAATTTTAGAATAAATGTCATTTGTTGATATGATAGCCCAATATGTTCTGCTTTCATGCTATTTTTCACAATTGAATGGATGTGGGTACCATTCCCAATTGGTAGAAGAAAAAAAAAACCCTGATCTAATATTCTATGGTAAATGATCCGTGATATGAAAGTATTGCTGTAGTGCATTTCTACAGCTTGAAATTTGTGCAGTTCTCGAAAGATAAAGAGTGGCCTCAAAATCAATACATTTAAACTTCAGTACCTTGACACTGCCTGAAAATCACTACAGTTAAACTTCGGTATCTCGTACACTGATATCTTGAATATCTAGGATATGTCGAGGTGATTTGAAAGTCCCAACCACCGATTCTTTAAGTATTTTACTCTGGATATCTTGAATCCACTTATTTCTCGAAGTATTTTCTTGGTCCCATTGAGTTCGAGATAATGAGGTTTGACTGTATTTAATGGCATTTGGAATAGGAAATTTCTCTTTTGAACCAGTTATATAAGAGGTAAAAAGAAAGGTTGAGATTATTTTAAAATGTTGTAGCATCTAGATTTCTACTTTTTTAGGTGCCAAGATGACCATGAACATGCTGAATTTAAGAAACATATAGGAGGAGGTTGTGTGTGTTTTGATCATCAGGAAGGGACTCTAAATGTTATGGTATTAACCTTCAGAAACTCCCACATCAGCAAATTCTATGCAACATTTCTAGCAATTGAAAAAAAAAAGCAATAGAAAGATCTTTTTTTTTTTTTTTTTTTTTTTTTTTTTATTATCCATTGTATAACATATAAAATCAAGTTAAATTAGCAGCAAAATTACAATGGATATTTAGCACTCACACACCCATTCATACATCTATTTGCCTTTTAAATTAATATGGAGGTTGCTTCATAGTAATCAGCTTATCAACAATTGTTAGAAAGATCTTAATCATGTAATGAATTGTTAAAGTATAAATTTTCTTGATTGCTTTTGTCTTGGTTGAAGATCCAGTGTTTATTGTTGCCCTTCACACTGTTGAATATGTTGAAATCTGTTCCGTAAACATGCCACTGATTTTCAAATTCTCACTGGTTTTACCTGGGTCATATTTCAGTCGCTGAATGAATCTGTGATAAAGAGAGCATCCATGTTGGCTGATATGCACCTTCGCAATGTCCGACAAAAGTTAATGCTTAAAAAGAGAACAGAGGAAGCAGTCCAAAGGCTTCAGGTATCAATTTTTGAAATGGCTTCAATAATATAGGGACTGGCTTTACATTTACCTGAACGATAAGTTAGGTACATATGTCCCTGTTATAGTGAATATTGCATGGGGTGTAAAGATGGCTGTTTTCTTCAAGGGGGATTGAATTAATTCTAAAGTCTTGGAGATGTACTCATATTTTTGTTAGATGAAGGGTTTTTTACCCATATACAGTGTACTTGTTAAATGCACAGTATTGAAAAATATAATAAATATTTACAAGAGGGGATGAAATAACAGTATTTGAAAATTGTGATAAAAAAAGAAATTCTTTAATTTCAGAGTACCAAAATTAGGTCAGGTTATACTGAAGAGTTTAAAGTTCGTGATGACCTGATGGGGCTGGCTATCGGGACACATGGTGCTAATATACAACAGGCCAGACATGTAGATGGCATCACCAATATAGAACTGGATGAGGACACATGTACTTTTAAAGTTCATGGAGAGGTGAGTGATGGGTCTCGTGTCGAACATTGTTTTAGACTACTTTTTGGCTACTTTCTCTCGATATTATCAATCATGTGTAATTGTGTGACTTTTCAATTATTTCATAAATCAGCAAAGCAAACAGAGAACATGCCTCAAAAGTTTACATTATTCATGAAAAGAAATATTTGCAATTTTCCTTCTATCTGCAAAAAGTGTGAAAGTTAGTAACATGCAAAAGAAGCTGATTTACAATACATGTATTAAGTTAAAAATTATATCTTATGAAATATGATAAATATTTTTGTAGTTTGATGTCTGTTTCAATGTTGGTTATATACATGTACGTATACATGTAGTATGGCAACAAGTTGATAAAATTCCATGAATAATTGTTATCAGTTGCCAAAGGTAGTTATAACTTCAGTAATTGGTTTGTTTGTGTTTTAGTCTCAAGAAGCTGTGAAGAAGGCAAGAGCCTTGCTAGAGTATGTAGAGGAAACGTTTCAGGTTCCAAGAGAGCTAGTAGGCAAGTCACTTAGTATTAACTCCCATCTCTTAATGATTTTTTTATATTATAGGATATTGAAAAATAATCTCATGACTATGTCACTCATTTTTGTTGATATAATTCCCTTTTGTCTATTTTGAGAGAAAATTCTACTATAGATAGTTCCCTGCTTAAACAGAACTAAGAATGAATGATTTTACAAGTTTTTCTGTTACAGCAAAGGTTATAGGTAAAAATGGCCGCAACATCCAAGATATTGTGGACAAGTCTGGTGTGGTGCGAGTAAAGATCGAGGGTGATAACGAGAATGATACGCCTCGTCAGGAGGTAATGGCGTCACTGGTAAGGGGGCGGAGTAAGATACATGTCAATCAGTGTTGGCAACAGCTGCACAATAGCATAGCTCCGGGGGAAATTACACACTTAGCAATAGAAAAACCCTGATCTTGTACATTAATTACCAGGAAGTACATGATGGTAATCAGAATGAAGTTTTCTAGGAATTATAATTTTATTAAATTACATAGTCCTTTGTTTACAAATAATGAACATGATTTGCTAACACAGAAGCTTAAGGGTTTAATCAGAGCCAAATTTAATACAGCATTGAAAGTTCACAAACTTAACACTGCATGGTGAAAGATAACTTAAATCTACAATATGTTTACAGCTCATTTATTATAAAGACATGATTTCATGTTGGTAGGCCCTCTTTTTTTTGTATAAATCCATCGGGAGAACATATATTGTGCAGCTGAAATATTGTGAAAAGAAGATGTACAGTTTGATTCTTTGTATAGCTAAATATAACACATTTATTCGTGCAAAAAGAGCAAAAATTTATGCGACTCAAACTCGGCATTGCATTTGAAAATATTTTAAATTTCTATTTTAAAAAAAAAAGGAAAAAAAGAAAAGGAAAAAAAAAAAGAAATCCGAAGATTCCATGACAAAGTATTGGCAGTAACTTTAAGGTTCATAAAAAGTAGCAAAAGCTGACTGTGTGAGTTTGATTAGCATTGTATATACACAGTATATATGACAACTGTCACATGTGTCTTACTTTTTGGCATCTTGCCAGTATTTATCTCTCTTGCTTTCGTTTCTTCCTTTTAAAAAGTACAGCTGTACTTATTATGTCTTTTGTTGTTTATTCTTGTATTGAGTTGTTTAATTCTTCAGTTTATTCACATCACCTTATTGTTATTCTGAGTTCTAATATGTTACAAATACTAACATGTCGACTCATTAAAACATTTTACTTTTAATTTAGAGACCAATATATTAAATGTTCAATTAACTTACAAAATCAGTGTTAAAGCACCTGTTCCTTGGAAACATATTAATATCATACAATGATTATGTCAAAGTGTTACAATTCCATTCAAAAGGAACAGAATGATATCAAATTTTGTTTGTCATTTTAATCCTGATATTTTCTCTGTCAATATTTCAGGGACAAGTACCATTTATATTTGTTGGAACTCAAGAAAGTACAGGAAATGCCAAGATTCTACTGGAATACAATTTAGATCATTTGAAGGTATATCTGATCAGCTGAGATTGACTCTTGCACCAGTCCTATTAATAGATAATCTTTTTGTTAAATTGGGGGTGTATGCATTTCATTAATACAAGAGAAGTATGACATTTTCATTTCTTCCCGTGGAGGAACGTGATCTTGTATCAATTACATGTAGATCCTGAGGAGGGTTATATCTGTTTTGCAGGTGAATTTATATCTGTTGTTAAATGACTTGTCAAAGCTTTCATGAACATTAAGTATTAAGTCTTCATATCTTTGTGTTTTATAGGAAGTTGAAAAATTGAGATTGGAGAAGTTAGAAATTGACCAACAGCTAAAGAGTTTAGCGGGACCCCAGACTGGACCATACTTTCCACCTAACAGAGAAAGGAGGTGAGGGTTATTATTTTAGATATCACACTACCATATTGATCTTTACCCTACCATACTGATCTTTCAAGGGCATGGAAAACTTTCTATTGATCAGGGGCTTTTGCCTGTTAAGTTTTGACCTTTTACAAAAACATGGTCATGCTTTCTATATAAAGAAAGTCTTACATGTAGATCTACTCCAGTGGGATAAACCCAATTTAATGATGAAGTAAGGTTTCTCTTATAATTCCCTGGTAACTCCCTGTCTATAACTCAGTCCATGGAATCCACCAGTAAAAAAATCCGTACATTTGCTAGAATACAATGTAAAGTTCAATAAAAATAGGTCATACATGTAAAATGAGATATGGGTTATTTATTGAATTGCATTATTTCTATGATTTATGAACAAAAAATGTTTGGGGGGATTTTCTTAACACATAAATTTTTTTTCCCCAAAAGATCTAGAGATAAAGTATTATTGTGGAAGGTGTAAGATTTTATATGAAAATTCCATGTTACTTTCAGGGGGAGTAATGACCCTTCCTCAGATGACCGTGGAAGACGAGGGTCAGGAAGGGGGCGGGGCAGAGGAGGAAGGAGATGGGCCAATGAGAGACGTACATACAACACAGGTAAGGACAACAAAAAATGCCCTCACAACACAGAGCAACAGAGAAAAATTGACAATGGTCCATGATATTTAGACTTATGGGACTGGAAACTCTTGCAAAGTCTCATACATTAATTTTAATTTCAATCAAACAAAAAATCTTATTATGCCCCTACCATGAATATTGCCAGGGCATATAGTGTTGTTGTGTCCATCTTCCATCTGTCTGTCCATCAATCTGTCTGTCATACTTTACATTAAAACTAACATACATTAAAACTCGTTCACTAATACATATTAGAGCTTTTCAACTATGTCATAATTTTCTGACCTTGACATTTCCTATGACCTTAACTTCACTCTTCTTCATTTTGCATTTAACTTAATTAGTTTCAAAAAAAATGGTTTATGAAATTTTTATCAAACCTCTTACAAAGACAGAAATTGATGAGAGCTATTCATCTATGTATAAATTTTCTGACCTTGACTTGCCTTATGATTTGACCTCACCCAGAATTATTTTGCATTTAGCACAGTTTAGAAAAAAAAAATAATTATATTATTTTCACCAAAACTCGTCCACTCATACATACTGATAAGATTTTAGTAGAATTGGTTGGTTGGTTGGTTGTTTATCATTAAGTTATTTTACAATGTATGCCTTAAAATTTACATATTTACATATAAAAATCCCATTCCCAGTAACAAAAACACTGCATTTATTAAAAGCAAAAAAAAAAAAAAGACAAAAAGAAAAAAGGGAAAAATTTGTAAGGGTCCATGTGATGTTTTGGATATTGTCTGTGAAAGTAGAGTCTCACAAATGATGAGGCATGTTCCTTCTTGTCATAAGAAATAAATTTTGTTAAGCTCATATGTTTGTGTAAACTGATAACTTATTTTGATGTTTTAACAGATGAATCATCTCCAGCACCTATAGCTGATTGGTCTGAGGAGATGAATGCAGAAGATAACCGTCAATCTGGTTACTACACAGATAGTATTTTGACCGGGAGGGGACCCAGAGGAGGGGGAGGAGGATACAGGCCCAGGGGTAGGGGAGGCAGGTACCCCAGGGGGTCAGGGTACTTTTCCAATAGGTCTTCAGGTAAAATTACATTTGCTGGTGTGAGCTTAGCATTAACAACATTTCTCTTGCTTTTTATGGTAGGATGCCAAATAGATTTATATCAATCTCATTCATCTCATGATTTTTAATTTTAACAAAGACTTTACTGGCAAATAAAGGATTGCATATCATTTTCATTTCATGTTGTATGCATATTAAATTAGTTATTTTATAGTTTGGAATGATAAATTATTTTATAATTTTTTTCATTAACATTTAATACATTTGTGTATATTTATTTTATAGAATTTTTTAGTTCAAGCACTCAAGTACCTGTAGTTGCTTTCCCTAGTTAATGCATTCTTTAACAACTATTTGCATGCATTTTTTTTTCAACAGATTATCATGACCAACGTCGGTATAGATCAGATAGACCCAGTTACTCAACCAGCAGACACAGTATGTTGCTTGTTTCATGTTTTTATTTTGTTTTAGTGCTTATAGTACAGTATAATTTGTCCAAATCAGATACCACTGGTTATATGAAAATTATCTGTATTAGACAGGAAAAAAATTAGGAAAATATTTGAGTTATTCCCCCTTATTTTATTCACAAGTACCATACATTTGTTGGTAAAATTTTCTTAAATGATTAAATCATAACATTTTCATGGAATCTCTATATGTATTAATCAGGATTATACATGTGACTTATTGTCAACTTTTCCTTTTTGTTCACAAAGTTTGAGTCTTTAGTCTCAACCTGAGAAGTGAACGGAGTCATAATCTACAAACATGTCTTTATATCATTCAAAAAATAGGAAGCTCAGTATATGCAAGTTAAATAGCACATTTAATGTCAACAAAATTATTATTGCTTTGATAATTATTGAAGTTACATTTAGATTTTTTTTTATAAACATTCTTGTCTTCCCTCCAATGTAAGGGCACCATTTTAAGATAGTTACTAGTAAATTTAGAAAGGAAAAAAAGAATTTTATCAATGTGTAGAATCTCCATTCTTAGCCTCTTGAATTCTTCAGAAGGAAAAAAGTAAACATTTTGGCAGTCCTGAAGATACACTGTAAAGCTACAGTTAATTGTAAATATGAGGGTTTTTCTTCTGATCATGGATTTGTTTACTCTTTTTAATCATGATATAATTATTTCAGTGGCATATGATACAGATGAATCCCGGGATTTACGCTCCCGACGTAGGATGACAGATGATGACGATACAGTATTAGATAACGCCAGTGTCACCAGTCAAGACCAAGACGGTGAGTTGGAATAAAAAAACATAAAAGAAGAAATGTAGCTTGTGTTTAGATCTATAAAGCAATCACAGACACACTATACATGTATTGCTGAGTCCAGGGAAGTTTAAATGGAGATGTTTTTTGACGAGGTAGCTTAAAAAAATTCTAGCTCTCAGATTGGTGATGTTTATTCATTGAATTATATGAATATAACTTAATTAAAAATCAAAGAAATTGGGGTCAGTGGGCTCAATTACCTTTTTGCACTGTCATTCAGCTGTTGTGTTTGATGATGTTGGTTTCATATTCATAGTATGATTTTTAAACTGTACATGGTGAGTAGGGATGAAATGAAATAAATTTGTACTGAGCTAAAATTTGACTAGAGATATATAAACATGATTACATCTGTAGAAATGATTCACTGTTTGAGCTTTAAACTTAAGGAAAAATCAAGTTTAGGACTGATCACAACAATCAAATGTTCATTTTATGGAATTATAGATACAAGATACAATTCAGCCACATTATGTATGGCAACTTCATGTTCTGATTTCATAGCAAAACTAACTCTTAGATATTTTCTATTTATAGATTATAGAGATCAACAGAGACCCAGGAGAAAACGAAGGAATAGAAATCGTCCCTTTGGTAACGGAAGTGCTGCATCGGGTACAGAAACGGACAATAGTGTTTCTAATTATCGGCCATCTGGAGGTCGGCCGTCACAATTTCAGAATGACACTTCTCATAACGTGAATTCAGTAAAGACTGAACCATCAAAAGTGAAAACAGAACTTGAATCCAAACCGTCTGGGCCGTCCAAGGAAGGTAACAGTAGTAATATAGGTAGTACAAAGCCTGTCAGTCAGTCCAATAAACCAAACTGGAAACCAGGATCAGCTCCGCCTCGAGAACAAAGAAAACCTGCCCAGAAGTACTCACCCTCAGCAAGGAATGGAACAAGTGGCTCAGAATCTGATTCTAAAGCCGCTAAAACCAAAAACAATTCTTCTAGTAGTCAACCAAAAGAGCAAATCGTTAATGGAGAGTAAAAAAAGTGCTTAATTAGCCCTGATAGGAGAAAAAAAATGGAGGATAGCTGCTCAGTGGAGCAGGTCATCCTTTTCTTCCTCCTTCTACAGGAGAGTGCTTTGTTACCTAGGAAATTATTCATGACATTGTTTAGTGTTTGAGAATTAATATTTAAGGAATCTGTTGTCTCTTTGGAGATAGTGTTTGCTATGCAATATTTGTCAGTTTGCCCATAATGACTGTTGCTGTCTTGTTAAAAAATTGACTTTTAATAGAAATGGTCTGATACCTTTATACATGTATCTGTTGGACTTTATCTTGAACTTTGACCTATGGAATTCCATTTTTTGCTCTGTCCCAAAGTTTTGCATAATAATGTTGATTCAGTATGGTGACTCTATTCAGACTTCATGTGTAAAACATATAAAGTTATAGATTTAAAGAAAATTTTGTTAGAAATTAATATTGATGATGTAATAGACTTGAAATGACTCTCATTGATGCTCACATGTAGTAGTGATAAAGTGTATGTCAAAATTAAGTAATGTGACTTAATTATATAAGTGTCTTGGAATGAGTGATACATCTGCTATTAATTAAATATATTTCTGAGCTATGTAATAGTATTCAAAATTTATATGATATACTAGCTTGATATCGTAAAATCATTCATGTAAGTGTTATTAACATACAAATTGACTTTTCCGTTGTCATATCCACATATCTGAATCTCGGATTACTTTGAAATAGCTTATTTTTTGTGTAAGATTTTTTTTTCGTTCGAATGAATGACAACAAAAAAGAAATATAAACTTTCTGTGAAATGTTAACCAGGAGATTAATATCACCAGGAATTTATTTTTTATTTCATTAATTTTGTGATCATAACACAGTAAAGATCGATACATTAATTAATTTTCTGTTTCAAAATCAATTTAAATACATATATGAGGGACATGTAATATTAAAGTTTTTACATTGATTTCAAATAGTTTCAAGAAAAATTTGTTTTAAAATAATCATCTGAGATTATTGTGAAAAGATGTAAACAGTGGTTTTTTCCTTTGTTTTTTCAGATGACAATCATTACCGTCTGTTTAAAAGACTACTGTCATATTTTTGTACTACATACAGTTTATCCTCTAGGAGAATGACTAGAGTACTTTCACAGTTTATCCTCTAGGAGAATGACTACAGTACTTTCACAGGGTCAAGACTCTGTTTAATGTTTTATCTTTATTTCTTCCATATCAGTTTTGTAAAACATGAGCAAGATAAAACAAAAAGAGGTCGTCTTTTGATTTTTTTTTTCATTTATTTAGAGACAAAAGATTTATTGTAATGGGTCCTTGAATGATGTGTATTTTGTTTGCAGTGCATGAATGCATTTGCTGGTTTGACTGTGAGTTCAGGTTTAGTAGCTTTTTGTTTGATAGAAAAATCAAAGTCATTTGTGTCCTTACAGTATTTTGATCTGATATTGTTAATTGACAAAAAATATACCAATATACTGGTCATCATTTCTTATTTGTGAAGCATTCTTTTCATTGAATGCTGTCATACAGGGTAGTTCAGAAAATGATACACTGGTTGTATAACAGATTGTAAGCAGAATTTAATATTTGCTATCCAATTTCTTTGTGTATAGAAGTATGAATGTTATTTGTTAGACATTTGTTCATACTACAAAGAAGGAACTGATTTAATTTTTTAAATGCTATAATTTATGATGATAAGTTTGCAAGGGTTTGGCATATGTTGTAATTAAATGTTGAAATAACTCTTAAAATAAGGCATTGTATACTTACACCTGAAAATGGAATAATGTGTGTCGGTGTGCAAAGGGCTGATAACTCTTGCAACACAAAGAGAAGTAACTATTGATACTTCTACAGAATATTTCTATGTGATCTATTTGTTTGTGAATAATACAAACTTAGAAACCAAAGAATTGAGAAAAGTATCTAGACTGCATGTTCTTGTGTGACATGAAGGAGACACGTTTATTTTACTGCCATATCTCAGTGTTAACGAAGGTGTTACATTTGTTTCAGTGTTATTACATTATTACAATTTCATTACATTCATTGCTATTGAAATCAACAGTGAGGTTGTTACACTGCTTTTTTTATTCTCTGAATGAAGTGTGCGGTAGATATTTTTGTTCAGATTGTGAGATATATGAAATTATTGCAAGACTGGCAACATTCTTAATTTATTTCACATCCTAGGCCATTATCTTGTAGATTTTCCTTCCATCCAGTGCGATTTTTATTTCTCTTTTTTTTTTTGTAATAAAATTATTGCTAAGGATTGTTTTGATTGTTATTTTGTTATTGCCTTGTGTCTGAAGGCTGATATGAATAAGGTTTTCAGATCCATCTTATAACATGCCTTATTTTTCAACATTTAGTGCAAAGTAAAATTTTGCAGGAGAAAATGACCATCCTCTCCTATCCCAAACACATATTTAAGTCGACAGTTTTATTGAAGATTTAGACAAGGCACTTGCAAAAAGCAACTTAAAATACTGGGCAAATCCAGTGTACAAATTCATGGTATTTTAGATAATACTGTCAGTATGAAAGAGCAGTAATTTCTCTTCTTTTTTTTTTTTTTTTTTTTTTTGGTTAAAATGAGATGTTACATTAGTGAGTATGTTATATACTGGGATTAGTAGAACTTCTTTGTTTTAAGCCCTAATGAGGGGCTGATACCAGGGGTGCAGGGGAAGGGGTGGTGTTTTAAGTGGGCTTTGTCAATCAGATTTTGTGTAGATTGTATGAGTCATTATCAAAATCTGCAGAAATAATACCCAAGAAGGAATCAACAAATCCCATCTTCTCATGAGTGAATTTGATATCAAAGTTATAAAAAGTAAATTGCTAATCGCCCATCTAGAAATTCCTTATCTGATTTGGAGGGAATCAATGTACAGTGAATGACTGAGTGCCGCAAAGATGGTTTATTTAACAATTTTTATGACATATTTACGAAGTGTTCCAATTGAAAAAATAACAAAACAAACTTTTTTTTTTATAAAATCACATAGGCAGATACTTCTTGAGTATTGGTCAGTGATTTTTATGAAACGTTTCTTTGTGAAACGTTTCTTTATGTAGCCCTCGAGGGGGGGGGGGGGGGGGTAGGCCCCTCCCCCAGTACCTTTGATGCGAAAAAGTTAAATTCTCCAAAAAGATGAAAAAACAGACATAATGTAACAGGAAGGACTAATAAATTTAACATAGTCGTAATTTTTAATTTAGATGATACAATTAATATGAACTCTTTTTTTTAATAGTGTTAAATAGCATAACTCATATTATTCAAATTTTTAAAAGAATACATTTAATTATTACGTAATATCTGTAGACTGTTGGTGACTTAAATATAGCAGTTTCCTTAGTATTCTTTGAACACTAATGTTGGACTCTGGATCGATTGCAGTATTTCTCCTAGATGTACCAGTATTTATAAGTGATATTTCGAAGCAATTACATGTAATTACTTACAAACGTACAAATACATGATTCATGATGTAAATGTCATAAATACTCTTGACCAGAAAAGTTAAAAAATATTTCTTATCGCGAAACATAAACTAAGCCACTAGTCTACATGTAGTAAAACCTTAGATCATGTAGCACTAATATTAGTGCCTTGTTTACTTGTTAAAGTTGTGCTTTATTTACTGATTGCAGTTTCTATTTGTCTGTAACAGTACACATCCTGTCAGTTTTTATATACTAGTACATGGGAAACTTTCTTTTGGCAGTTTCTGATAACGATTTTTAAGTCCATTTTTCCTTCTTATGATGATGTATAATTTTCATTTCTATATTACTTGTGTCAGTTTCCACCATACTTGCCATAAACCATCCTTGGGTCAAGGAGACTCCAGTTCCCAAGGAGAAATTCTTTAAAAATAGTAAAAGTACGGGTTCAGTTTTTCATACGGTAGGAATAAGTACCATTTTTTTAAAAATTCCTGTAGAAAGCACAAACACTTGAAAAATTCATTTAGATATGCAAGTACCTCCTTATATTACATTTTCTTTTTTTCAAGTCATTTTACTCAAGGGGTGGGTGTGGGGAGGGGGGGGGGGCTTTTGTAGGTCCAGAAAAGGATGCAGGAAGATGTAGAAACTTTCTTTTCTTCCCTCATAACTGGTCTGCAGGGCTAAAAATATATAGTAAATTTAATAAACAAAGATGACCAGTTTTGTATAATACTAGTGTCGATTCAGATTTTATTCAAAACATGATCCTCGGGGCTACGAAACCATTAAGTTTTACATGGAAATATAAAGAGGGATTCTTGAAAACATTTCCACCTACAAGACAAGAGAATAAATCGGTCAAATTAATATTCAGCCATCGTCAAGTATTTGTATACAGATTCGGGATTATATCACAGTAGGAGGTCAGTCAAAAATCTGTGTAAGAATTTATAGAACCAACTAAATGGGGGGGGGGGGTATTGTATCATATCATATGGCAAGAGATGTCATATTTAGGTAACCGAGTCACTTAGGTGATCTATTGTTATTGCTTTCGTCCGTTCGTGCGTCGGTCGTATACCTTTGACCTTCTTCTTATAAACCGTTAAATCAATTTTAACCAATTTTGTATATAGTATCTATAGATAAAGAGAACTATAATTTCTGAATTTCATGGTCTCTGTCTCCTTGGGCCCTGAAGGGGGTGGGATGGGTGGTGGTAAAAACCATCAAAATTAGTGTAATCTTCAAAATAGATCTACTTCTTCTTTATCCCTGGACATCAAGAATTAAGCAAAATTGTTGGCATGATTATGCTTGAAAACATTGAGCCCTCTACCAAGATTGAGAAATTCATAGCTTCAGGGTCAGGGGTTCTGGGGTTAGGATGGGCCTTTATTGATTATATAGTGAAAATGCATGAATTCTTTGTAAACCTTTTCTGCTCCTGAGTACTAAACAGACAAACTAAGTGCAATGTTATGATGAGCAAGGGTACCTCTGTTTAAATTTATTGCCCCTGGGTCAGGGGTTCTGGTGTTAGGATTGGGCTCTATTGATCAAATAGTGAAATGCTTTGAAAATCTCCCCCTTTATTCCTTGGCATCATAATGTAATTGGCAGGTACATGTATATTGAATAAAAGAATTATACAAGAATTTCAAAGCATATTTTCAAAACATACTTCTGTAGATTTTAATGGTCAAGTAGACTTGTAGGTAATGAATTAATAAACAAAAACACCTTTAGTATAATTTAACTTGTACAATAAATATAAGATAAGGAGCAGGAAATGTGGATTGAAGTTTAATCTTACAGAACTAGTTTCATGTTGAAGCATTAAATTGATCTTAAGATTTGTTTTAGTAATAGAACCTAATAAAAGTGTAGGAACATTGGCATATACAGGCAAGTAATATACTTTCAGAGCTGTCGCAGATTACCAAACAGACTATTCTATTGATTATCCTATTTCTTTTGTCCGAGCAACATATCTTCCTCTTATGATTTATTTTGCTGAATTATATGATTACCATTCTATGGATCCGCTGCAGGGTTGTATCATACTCAGGTGACCGACAAGGTCCATGGGCCTATTTTTTTTCAAATCATTTCACTTGGGGAAGGGGGGGGGGGGGGTTAAGAGGAAAAGATGTCGAAATTTTAAACAGAGATGTTTTCACATTTTCAATTCTTGAATTCTTGCGTCAGTTTCTACCAAACTTACAATAAAGCCTCCATGGGTAAAGGGGGCTCCAGATTGTTCAATTGAAGGACCGTGCTTTTTCTTTGGAAATAGTAGAAATACGGGTTACAAGGGAAAAAAATGTGAAGATGTGACATTCTCTATTGTGGTACATATTAGGCCTTAATTTCTGAAGTGAATGAGTTCTGAAGGGGTCCATTTACACTCACAAACACACACTCTCTCACACACACACTCACACAAACTAAGAGAGAG